TATTCAAAAAAATTAAAAATTATATATTCTCTTTTATAAGCTCTTTTATCGGTTTCATATTTGAAGATTGAAATGAAATTATTTGAAATAAAAAGATTCCAAGATTTGAAATGAAATTATTGAATTACAATAAATCAGCAAAAATAAAATGACATTTTTTACATAAATTTCTGACTAAAACGTAGCAGCATAAAAAATTTTCAAAAATTGGATTGAGTTAATATAATTTTTATAAAATAAAAATTAAATTCAAAAATATTAAATATCATTAAAAGAGGATACGAGATAACCGTATCTATATTTGAGATTTTTATCACTTTCTATATTGCAGAACATATTTACATTCACATCCAATTTGTAATTCTTAAGACTAATACATTTATTTATAATATTTATTATAGTTCTTTCAGTTAATGTTCAATTTTATATAAAAAATTAAAACTTGTGTACAAATATTTCCTTCCAAGGGTACACAAAAAAAATATCAAATGTATTTAAGATTTACAATTATGTTCAAATAATAATGGAAGGAAATGCATAAAACAAAGAGATCATTAAAAAATATATAAAATGAAAAAAATCAAATTATAAATATATTTTTCCGTATTTTAGTGAAACTAAAATAAATAGTTCTTACATTGGGGAAAAATTGACAAATGTGTGATTTAAGTAATTTTAATCAGAGGAAAATGCCGATGACAAGAAAAGTCGAAAACTGGTGGTTCCTTCGAATCTTTTTTGTGTCCGTCAGCTAATAGCTTCAGCACTACAAAATTCGTCTTTGCTATTTTCAATAGATTATTAATCTGCAATACAGAAATAGTAATTTAATGATAAAAATAATACATACAACAGTTTATAAAGTTATAAATTAACGTTTTTAAAAGCTTACTTCATTTTCTATTAAACTATTTGATGGATAAAGCAATAATGCACGCTCCAACATATTTCTAGCCTGATGAAAATGTCGACAACCGGCAACATATTGCATTTCACTGGTAACTTTTTCCTACAGGAATAAAGCTAATATTATATTTGCCGTACGATAAATTTTTTAAGCATATTAATTGATTGCATAACAGAGAGATTTTCAAATCTCCCCATTCTATCCAATTAGCATGCTTAAAAGATTTATCGTACAATAAATATAATATTAGCGTAAAAGTTATAAATTATAATTTTAATTTAGTCAACATTAAAAACGTTTATAGTGCAATTTCTACGTTATGGTTTTATTATAATTTAAATGTAAAACTAATTAAGCATTAAACTTACATTTCTTTTATGCATTTGAGCATTTGTCATATCTAGAAATTCTTGATAATGAACAGGAGGTGGTGTTAATAAAGATGAAAACGGCAATAATCTATGCTCATATCTCACTCGCTCGGAATCAAACCGTATCTCTGGAAGTGGTATTTTTTCATCCATGCGAAAACCGACTAGAGCCTAAAAATTTTTTTTATGACTTATACAAGAACTGTATATTTTTTATTTAAAAATTATATTCTTAAAAATGTAATTTACTTTATAATATCCGCCACATATATTCTGCAAAGCCTGGTACATTAATATCTCCAAATTGTATGGTCTTGGTGCTGATTTCTTCTTCTTATTCTTAGAACTCTTTTTGCTTCTACCCTTATGAGTATCATTGTGCGTGTCCTGCTCCATTAAAAACGTATCAGCTCGTGTAATTGCAGATACGAGCCAGCCATACAGAAATTCATATAAATACCAAAAGATATAATGATATTCGTGAACTGAATATAACTCGAGTTCGAAACCACTTAACAGATACATGACCATAACACGCAATGTGTGATATAAAATCCAGGTACCAAAGCAGGCCAAGTGAGGCCTTGGTGTATCACTTTTTAAAGATAGAGTGTGCAAATAGCCATCAACTCTCTCCGCCTAAAATATATATTTTAGCCTTAAACTTTTTATATTAAAACACATGTTTTAATAAAAATAAGTTAATGCTTTTTCTAAATCCTAAAAAAAACTTTAGGTAGAATTAAAAAGTAAATATACACATGTAATAGATGTTTTTGGAATATAAAAAAAAATGTAGGCAGCGAGTGTAACATGACAGACAGCGCACTGGTCTGTCATGCCAGAGGTCCTGGGTTCGATCCCTAGAAGGAACTAAAATATTTATGCTCATGTCTCCTCTCGGAAAAAACCGTCAACTTCCCGAGAGTATTCTTGCTCACAGAAACACCGCTCGAAAAATCCGCCAGAACCGGCATTAAAACTATAGGTCCCATATGCTTGTGGCAATTAAATAACCAGTGTGCGCACCACAAGCATATGAGAGAAGTGCAACACAGATCAGAGGTCTAACGTAAGAAGAAAAAAAAATGTAGTAGTTAATAAAATTCTCCAAAGAATTCTTACTTCATCTTGCAATGTCGCAAAGTCTTCTAACAAATGCGCCAGTTTATCTCTTTGTCGTGCCCTATTATGTCCACTAAGTTGCAACAGGTTTCCGAATAAACTGACACAATGTGATAGAAAGCTGTCAACGTACTCCTTAGCCTGGTGATTCTGAAGCAACGTACTTTTTGACAGCAACACGGGTGGCGCGATAAAATTTCGCGCTGCATCTCTCAGCACGTCCGCGAAATTGTGGACACCGAATACGCGATTAGTGGAAGGCAAGTAAACAATTTGTAACATAGATCTGGACAAAATGCATGGACTATGACGCGAAAATTCTAAAAAAAAGTCCTAAAAAAATCCATTTATTTTTATATATATGTAAATCTACTAATAAATAATATTAATGCATCGCTAATTACCAAGGCCGCGTGAAATCCGACATGATTTGTGATTTTGGTAACCATTTTGAATCTATTTATTAATTCAACTAAATATTCTAAGGCATCTATTCTTGGCTTAATTTTGGTGTATCGAGGGAACGTCGGTGGCAGCAATCTTTGGTTTACCATCGGATCAAATCCCATAATATTTGGATGATTAGCTATAATCGAAAATCATGAAAAAATCATTATTTTCTTACATAAATAACATTGCTTTCTATATAAGAAAACATTGTGCAAATATCAATTTTTTATAAAAAAAAAAAATTAAAAATTCCAAATTTATAAAACAAATTTATATAATGAAAAAGAATATACAGCATGTCTATACTTACAAATTTCATCAGCCTTTTCTCCACAATGTACTGTTGAAATCATAATATTAAGCATATCAGAACAATTAGATAACAATCTCTGGCAATCATTTAAATTCTGTTGCAACTGCTGCTTTCGGCCCATCAATGTTAACACTTGATAGAACATTTTCGTAAATCGAATCCTTGCATAAAGTGCTATTCCATCCTTATACTATAAATCAATATTAATAATAAATAAATTAAAATAAATATAACAACTTAACATCATATACAGAATATAAACAAAATATTAAAATTATAGAATCAGATGATTTTAAGATTTAAATTATGATCTAAACAAAAAGAAATTTACCTCTTTTTCGGATTCAACATCGACGAGTTTTATCCGACTTTTCCGATGAAGTTCTTCTTCAACTTCTCGTAACATCGATATCGTTTTTTGTTCTGTAATATCTTGCTGTAATCTATAGCCATAAGTAACACTCTGAAAATCCTCTTCTTCGAATACTAAAGCTTTATTGATGCAATCCTTGATAATATCTATTATCTTATACACCGCATAACAGAATGTCCTCAAAGGTTTATCTAATATTTGCTCAGGCTGATGTAAATATAAGTTCGTGAAAACGGTTTGTGCAAGACTGTGACCTTCCAACCAAGATACTAGACATGCATATGTGGAATCTATTATTCCTATAATCTCAGCGGATGTAAAGCTGTCCAATTTGATTGCGCCTGAATCGACCGCTTGGGTAAAAGTGCAAGGCTTGTTGTTACCCCGATTGCACAACATACCAGCATCCATTTTTGGATCCATCATCTCGATGGCAGACATGGCTTCAAATAATCCAAACAGCTCATCATGTAACAATTCTCCCAGTTCCAACTCTGAATACAGAATGCAGAAAAATATACTGGCATTCAAAAATGTAAAATATTGTTAGCCTTAATATTATTCGTAGAGATTAAAAAAAGATTAAATCTTAAAAATCACTTATATATAATTAAGACTTATTGCAATAGAGGACAAATTCACATTTTGTAAAAACATGGAATAAATGTACCAACTGAACTCTAGAATTAATTTTCTCTGTTTTATAAAATGTGGATTAGTCTATTGTTACAGTAAGAGCTCTTAAATTATATTTTATAATATATTTGTAATTAATATATTTTCTATAATCTAATGATAGGTCTTATACTCCCAACCTCTTTCTTTAAAAATTTGACACAGATCATTAATGTGTTTAACATAAAAATATAATTTAAAAAATTAGTTGTAATTTATATGTATGTGTACATATTGTATATATTTTATAATTTTTTATATTATAACATGTAGAGTTTTTATACATAAAAATTGTTCATCAATACAAATTAAAGAAGCAATCTCCAATAACTTTTATACAATTTCTTAAAGAGTCACAACATTGATTAATTTATGCATTGATATATTGTTATATAATATTCAACATACATATTGCTATTAAACTACATAGTATATGTATTAATATATGTAATATGTATATTATTACATATTGTAATTTATATACATATTCCTTATAAACTTTGCATGTAGTATATTTGGTATTTTTTCGCTTACATTAATATTTATGTCAATATTTATATTAAATACATTCCAATAATAATAAAAAGAAATTAACATTAAGACAGACCTATTGTTTAGTATACACATTTATTATAATTTGTGTTTTAATCTACTTTTTAAAATTTATTAAAATTAAGAAATGGGTATAAGACAAGTGAATTTTAAATATAGAATAAAAAGTAAAAGACAAAGTAACATAATTTAGATTAATGATAAAGTAACATTAATAAAAGTCGTTATATATATAAAATCAAGAATTCATAAAGAATTGACTAATTATATAAAATATGAAAAAAAAAAAAAATATATATATATATATGATTAATTTAATAACAAGATAGAATCAAAATTTAAGCATTATATGAATAATTTCATAAATTATTAAACATAAATCTGATAGCACTAGAAAGTATCTACATCAAAGATCGGTCAACACATCTGTTCTTTTTATTAATCTTTTTCTTATACTTCTTTTATCTTTCTGTTTATTTCTGTTTCCTTTTTCTCCATCTTATTTGAAATATGAAAAGCGTAAAGCAGCACGATCAAAGACGAATAGATACACATTCATACTTTCATAGCACAAGACTGTTTGTGCTTCAAAGCAATATTAATGAAGGAAGAGAGCGCGAGACAGAGAAAACGACAGTTCCATTCGGGACAAGGTAACGATTGATTTGACATTCAAGTACCTGTGATCGCCTCGAAGAACTCTTGAGTTATATCCACCCAGTTATGCACGATCGAGTCAAATCTGCAAGACAAAAATAAAACGAGACAATTAAAAAATACCGCCCTACGTTGTGTGAATGGATGGCACGACTAGGTTAAATCACCATCGAGTACCGTGACGATGGCACGATGGATCGTCGCGTCCATCGTTCACCAGCAACTCGCGAATGAGGCTCGTTGCTACGATTTATCCATATTAAAACTTACGGTAAATCTTTATCCTCGTTGATATCAATCGAATTCTGATCTTCCACCATGGTCGCCATTATTGTAGACGATGTTCTGTTCAGTTCTGTCATCTCGTTACAGGGACGCCACTCTCGGCTGCCGCGTCCCTAAAAATCCCTAAGAACCACTGCAGTGAGTATGGCGCAAATATTATTTAAACTTTGCTTAAATTATGATTAATTAAAGTACCTTTTTATCAATTAAAATCAAATTAATTAAATTAATTTTAATAATGCAGATTGGCAATATATACATATAAATTTTTCGGTTCAATTTATTCTTCATCTTTTTTTTATTTTTTTTTTTAAGAATTAGAAAAAATAAAAAATTAAGATTAAAGTTAATCTATCGTTGGACGAAACGGATATTAATCGATAGAATTGTTAAAATTTTTGGCTAGACGTATAATTACTATAATTAATTCGATCACAATTTAATCCTTTTTCTTATTCATTAATAGTCGAGTTAATCGATAATTAAATTAATCGGAGTTTATTAGACCAGTGTCACAGTTGATTCTTATATTTAAAACTATCTTAGCACAGTCTTAAGATGTCACAAGTCAATCGGATTTAAGACATTATTTAGAACGTTCTTAAAATAAGAACCGACTATAAGTACCGGCTTTAGTCGAGTTACTCTAAAATCTTGCGGCTCTTTCCCGCGCTGGCACACGAGAAGCATTTTACCAACTGACTGAATCGCTAGAAACTTATCATTTATCACTAAACTCTTATTAATCGTTCGTCGCGTAACGACCGCGTTGTTTTTCGTCCTTGAAACACGAAACGCACTCGGAATCGGAGTCCGTCGTTCACATTCGTCGCACATCCGTGAGACGTAAGCTCGCTCACGACTGTGAAGATTGAAGGTGGGGGGGGGAGGAGGAGGAGGGGAGGAAGGAGCGTGAGCAGGGTGGCCGGAGAATCTGGGGGAATCTGGCAGTAGTGCGTGATACGTTGTCGTCTCGGTTGGAGTCGCTTGTCGTTTCGCGGACGTTGAAAAACAGTGTATGTATACATACGTCACATACATTGCGGTGCGTGTCGAGTGTCCGTTGCGTCTTATCAATATCGCCGGAAGAGAAAAGGAGAAGGAAAAGAGAAAGAGTGTGCGGGCTGTCGCGCCGTAAATTGTCCGCGATCACAGTGATCACGCGAGAAGCGTTTGAAGCCGGTGTTGTTACGTAGTACTTTCAGTTACGGACCTTATTGCGCGCTTCACCTCGCCTCGCCTCATCTCGCCTAGTTTCGTCCCGTCCCGTTTCGTTTCGTTACACGGCTCGTCCGGTTTGTTCACCACCTTGTTTCATCGAAACACGCAAAGTGCATGCTACCGTAGATTGACAGCGGATCTACGCGCCTCGCGACACACGGCGGAGGATGTTGGATCGCGACACGGCGATACATCTCGTCGCTGGAGGGTGGGTATTATTTTCGACCAGCGCGCGCGCGCGTCTCAGACCCGGCCCCGACCCGGCTCTGCTTTTCTCTGTTCTGTGTTCTATTCTGCTCTACTCTACTCCACTCAGCTCTGTTCCGTTCTGTTTTCTGCGTCACCACTCTTGGCAGGTCTTCACTCTCCTATGCACGTTCGATTTACACGATCACGATCGGATTGAGGGCGATTTATAGCTTTCCCGATGTCGCGCGGTCTCAATCGGGCTCAAACCGCTTTTCCCGAGGTTGTCTTTAATTAATCTGAAGCGCATTTGACATACATAGGGTGCTCCGAAAAAAAAAAAACATTTATCAAGCAATTTTCTACTTTTAAATATTTTCTTGTCGTTCTTAAAGTCGGTTTTCCTGGCGTTATGAATTTTTTTTTTAAGAATTCCTGAGACTGTGATAACTCTGATTATTGCTGATAAAAAGTTATTTTAAACCTGGATCTGAGACACGGTGCAATCACTGAAATGTATTCATCATTTAGTGTCAGGATTGCATCAGTTAAGCAAGACTCTACTATTTATAAATGATTTGAATTAGCACCATGTCAGATTTCTTTTACCTTTATTTCTTCCATTCACATTATATGTGAAAAAAAAGTCCAAAGTACTAATAACTAAAGAGGAGATATATATTAAATCAAATCAAATAATATAAAAATTTTATAAAAATATATTAACTTAGAAAAACTTTAATTAATTTCAATCTTGTTTAGTCTATTTTTCATTCGTTGTTATGCATATATTTTGTTTATGTTATATATTATTATTCTGGTTGTCATAGTTATTTCACATAGAGAAGAGGGAGATTAACTAGAATAAATTAATCAAGATCATTCATGAGTATTTAAGACCGAGTGCTCAGTTATAAACAAAGTTTAATTAATTAAAACTTTTGCATAATAACAACAAATTAAAAATAGACTAACAAGATTATAATTAATTAATGATTTTCTTAACTGTTATGTATACACACACACACACACAATATACAAATTAATAAATAACTTTATAAAATACTTTTCATTATTGAGATCATAATTTTGTTATTCATATTCTTATAAATTATATTACTATAAAATTATGACTTTGATAATCACATTGGAAGCATGAGTTTTATGATTTCTCAAAAAGTTGATTTGTTTTCGTAATAACTCGTATTTCGAAGATGAACACTTTAATAGATTTATAATCTAGCGATGATTTAGCGGAAAAAAAATACAACGCTAACATTTTATCAAATATAATCTCTCGATATTTTTGCAAAAGAAAAATAAACTTTAGTTTAATAAAAAAAACTGTATATGTATAAAAAATTGGAACATTCATGAAAATTGAATTGTTTTATTGATTAAGATTGAAAATTGAACATGCAAATTTTCAGCTTTTAATCCATTTCAAACAAATTTGAATTTACACGAGTAAAAAATTAAAATTTAAAAGATACGGTATATAATAAAGTAGGGAGTTAATGTAATTTCGTTCCAGTCTACATCCCGTAATTAAGTAATATTAAGTGTAATATACAAGCAGGCATCTCCACTTACAATACAAACGCGAAAACGAGATAAATCAATTTTATCGCGAAGACACGTAGTTTATAAATGCATTACTGCGATAATAAAATCAAATTGTTTTATCTCTGTACTTAAAATGTTATGGAAATTCACACTTCAATTATTTTTGTGTTTTAAATTACATAAAATAAAACAAATCTCCGTTTTATGTAAATGTTTCAGAATTTTTCTGATTCTGTCGCAGTTATAAATAAAAATACTGATAGCCATTACAAAAAGACAAATGCAGCAGTCTTGGACGTTGTCTGTATTCATCATAATCGCTATTCTTGGCGAAGACGATTGAAATGAACCGACATGCGACACGGCGCGGCGATGCGATGCGCACGTGATTGTAACTGCGACAAAATTATCGGACAATTATTTCTAATTTAAAAGAAGGCTACGAAATTAACGACTTAACATAACCTTTATCGAGAAAAGCAACTTTTCCAGCGAAAATTTCTTTCATTCTTGACATTTATAGTACATGCTAGTATAAGTGCAGATTAGCACGTAATCTCTGTGTATCAAATTTTTATCGACGATGTAGTAAATTTATCATCTCTGCTTTTTGTGATAATCACGATGTACGCGGTAAACAAAGAATGCATTCGTAAAAGAAGCCTTAGGTTGCACACATTTCTGATAACCTTAAATATTATAACTGATTACAGTTCAGCGACTGTCGGCCTTTCTAGTTTGTAGGCTATGTAGATAATACCGGTTTTTCTTCTTCTGATATTGTTTAACCCCAATCAGCAGAATCTACTTTTTCTCGCTCTCTGTTTAGTGTATAATATAGTCAATACGTTACAGAGATTTTAAATCAATATGACAATAATAATATCGAATAATACAAAATAATATTAAATTGATTGAATTTGAAAAATTATAATGAATCAAATTATGAAGAAATTTCGAAAAATTTCCACACGGAGAAAATTTAATTCATCATGTGAATATTATTCATTATTTTATTTTTATATTTTTTTATTATTTGAGAGTTGTGTCGACAATATTTATTTATTTGTCGACTATTGATTTGAATATATATATATATATATATATCTATATATAAAGAATTTTTATTAATTTTACTTATAATTGCGCAATTAGCCTTATTATTTTTTTTTTTAATTAATTCATTCTAGTTAATCTTATCTATGTTGCATCAATAACGATTAGCGAATTTTATGACTTCTATGTAGATGCATAATAAAAGCTGCTATATCTGAAATATTAGTAAAATTAAATATAAAGAATATTAATATTTTAAATATAGTTAATACTTAATAATAACAATCACGTTATTTAACAGAATATACATACATTATTTTTTCTTCATTATCAAAATTGATTATGTTATACCACTGCAACTCAGTTAAATATAATTTTACATAAAATAACCTTTTTATATACATATAAATGTGTACTCGAATTTACCATAAGATAAACAAAATAATAATGTTATATAAACGAAATATATCCATAATAATAACAATGAAAACTAAATTAAAGAAAATTGTAATTAAACCGATATTGATTATATGTATTCATATCTATATTTTAATTGACACAATTTATATTATCCTTGATATTATCTTTGCGGCACAGCACAATATAGTATTATCTTCATCCGTATTATTGTTTACGGCTGATACGTTTCACAAACGATGCCAGGTTGATCGACTAGATTCACAACTGGCCTTACCAATGCCGAACTACAAGACTGTTATGTTGTAAGATAGCGTGTCAGCTCGCTCGGAAAGGAATCCGACGACGCAGTTAATATAATGTGCCTGTTCGGCGCCACGTACACCTACTTGCATTTGCTACCTGTCTGCGCGTACACATGTGCATGCGCACGTAGCCACTCGTGCATATATTTCCGTAAGCTTTCGATCGTACATATATGGAGTAGCCTAAACAGTCAACAATTCACGATCGAATCTTCGATCGAGGAATATCGAAGAATAATGAATAACGGAGTAATCGTTTCTTGAAACGTGTGCGTTGATATATAGGTCAAAGTTGCTTCAGACATGTAATTTGGCGCCAGAAGGAAAAGATGGATTACATTTTATTGGTAAGAGAGAAAGAGAGGTAGGGTCGTGTAGAATATAGATACGATATCGGTGATCGAGAAAATAATATACAACCTGTAAATGATATCTTACAATTTAAAAGTATAGGTATTTTTATTGTGGTTGCGTTTATTGATGCAATTTTATCCAATTAATATATATTTTGAAATATCGTAAATTCCTTAAATTACAGAATCAAGATCTGTAATTTGTGTGATAAAGATTCAATCATAAATCATTTAACTTTTGACTTTCACCGCTGAATGTCTTGGTATTTATCGACCTTTTGATTTAAATCAGAGACCTAATTAGAGTTAACCATGTAATCAATAAAGAACAGAGTTTCAACGTTTATTCTATGTTGTATTTAATTTGAATTAAAGCCTCCTATAATTTTTTTTGCAAAACTAGTTCATAAATTTTTATCAAATAAAAAATTAAGGTTTAATCTCTGACGTTTATTATTAATAATTCCCTATAAATATTATTGTTAAAGCGACCAATGTATATTTTTAAAACCGGTATATCGATTGTGATATCGAATCTTGCGTTTCCTCTTTTATTTTATTTTATTCAGAAGTAGATCAATTGAAAGGTCAAATAAGTAAATTTGTATATATTACAGAGACTAAATTTCTCGCTTGACAATAGAAAATAACTAAACGACTTATTTACTTGAAGTACTGCACGTTGGAAATTCGATTCTGAAACTTCGTGAAACACACACACATATTAATAATAATAATAATAATTAGAATTGTGGACTAATTTTAAGTCCATAAAACTTCTTTTTTGTATTATCCTATTTGAAAGAGATTGAAACATTCTTCGCACTCAAATATGATAAAAGTTTTGCAAAGAAATATTACTGCGTATTACTATCTGCATGAAAATTGTTATTCTTAGATTAGCAGAGTTAGCATGCAAATTTTCCGATCAATGAAACTACAAGTGCGCACTTGCTTTTCAGCACGGAAAGCTATGCGATTTATTACGCACGGTATGTGAATCGAACGCTAATTTACTGAGCACATTCATTTGGACTTGATAAAAGGTTCTGTACAATAGCGACTTTGAAGGTGGGCGAATTAGGCTAATTACAGAGGCACTATTGAACCTCAAAGTTCAAAGATGTTTTTCTCTCTGAAATGAAAGTTACATGTTCACACATAATTTATTAAGAAGACTTTAAATTTACGATATGTATATGACTCTTTTAATCTTACATACATATATAATATATTTGACGTGTCTTTTGTTTTAATATCCAATGAAAATTACATACTTATCGTTTTACAATTTTTAATTTTTTTCTTTTAAATATTTTAATATGAAAATTTATTTTAAATATTTAAAATTAAAGTTTTATCAAAATTGATTTAATTTAAATCGGAATGTTACAGAAATATATGAAAAAATAAGATTTTATTATTTTCTCCATTTTGAAAGTTTAATAAAATCTTTATTGTTTAATATTTTGTAATTGTAGTTATAAATAGAAAACCTAAGAAATCAATAATTCAATTCTTGGTCATTATTTGGTTTACTTGAATATTTATCATTTGAATATTAGAAACGTTAAAATTGCCTGTACGAACCTCGAAAAGTATAAATATAGTGTTGATAATATAAGTTTTCGTTGCATCGAATACAAGTTTTCGAGTACTACTAATTACTTCACGGCGTGACAAAACATGAAGTATTATAATAAGTATAATTGGAAAGATTTGTTAGATTGTTTAAAGTTCTGTGTAAGAGTTTGCACTAAATAAGTAAATATTAATATTTCTGCTTCGTACGAATTATGCGATATTTCTCATGTTTTTACCGTAACGATTATTTATAATTTTTATCTCGTAATTTTTATTTAGATAAGATAAAATTAAGATCAGATTAGTAGCAGACATTTTGTTCTCTCACAGTGATCCTTTGCTCTATTTGTAAACATTATAAATTAAGTTCATTATACGCAAATTACGGCTGCCTATCATAATCAATTTTCCAATCACGGTACTGATAACGAAGTTCCAATTATAATTATAATTTAAACTTTGTTATAATTTTATAATGAACTTTCTTTATATTTCTTTAGAGAAAATAACGATTTCTATCAATTCTATACAAACTTTAATAAAATATATGTATAAATGTATTATACATATTTACGAATGTATGCATTGTATATTATTTATTGTTGATTGAGTATACATATAAATACATAAAATTATATGTTATACATTATTATATATTTTACATCATACATATATTATACATCATTATATATGGTTATCGTAACAAAACATCTTTGTATAAGAAATCAACAATTATGATTACAAATAAATAACAATACTGATCAGATACAGCTCATTCATTCTTTTTTTTATTTTGCATAGAGTGGCTGGTACTGCAGGAGCGATAGTAACTTGTCCGCTTGAAGTAGTAAAAACCCGATTGCAGTCATCGTCTTCCGGCTTTCATCCACCTCCAATAAGCAAAGAATTTACATCTGGCCATCCAACATGCAAAGGTTCACCGACACCCGAACAACGTAGAAGGCTCTGCACTGGGTATCCCAGGTAAATAATCAAAGAAAAAATTAAATTGATTAAATTTTAATACTGATTTAGTATAATTATTTTGCAATTGTTCATTGTTATAATTTATCCAATTTTATAAGTTTTTTTATGACAGGCTGTTCTTTAGAAATTATTCATGGATAATTTGTGTGCGATTTATTTTCTTGAAGAATAAGAATTCTTCTCTTAGTTGATATTATCTCTTATCTGATCTTCGTAAAAAAATGATACTTGAAATTTTTCGAATTTCTTATTATATAAACTGCGTTTGAAATATATCGGTCTTCGATCAAAATATGTGATACAAATTGAATTTAAATACTTTTTAAAAAAAAATGAAAATTAAAATAGGGATAATGTTTAGAGATAACACATAACATTGGAACAATATTATTAATATCTAATAATTAATTTTAAAATATGCAATTTTCTGCTCTTTCTCTTGTACAATTTTATTGTATTATATTTTTTGGTTGCATCACTTTTCTTGCTGGTACAATTTGATAGTAAATAAATATGGTACTCGAAGAAGAATCGTTAGAATTCTTTAAAGATCATACAGAAAAATTACGAAAAATGTATAGATGCTGAAAATTTTTACATAGGAATTTGAATATCTTCCGACAATTAAAATTTCATTGAAACGCTTTCATTTTTTTGTTTACCGATTCAAGTATTAAAAGTAAATTGTTAAGTCTCTCAAAAAGCTATCAGATTTTTACGAAAAATCTCCCATTTATGTACGCTTGGAAAATTTCCACTTAAAAATCGAAAAACCACCAGAATATTCAATCTTTATTTTTATCGTTTTAAATTTTAATATGTGAAGTCGCGAATAAAACGTGTAGACAACTTTTGAAATTCGTCGTCAATATTCTAATATGAAATGTTAACTTTATAAAGATGTAATTTTCTGTCGTGTTAGATAATAATTACATGAACATATAACAGTTGAATTTGATCGAGCGGTACGTGTACCCAGAAAAAGACGCGTCTTATAAACGTAGCTCTCGGTCTCTATCACCCTCAGGTATTCCAGTCACTTCGTAGCTCTCTCACATTTTGGTGTCTCGACTTCACCTCCGGACTCTTCCCGAAACGCACCGGGCATTTATCAATGCTTAAGGTACATCATCAAGAATGAAGGTGCACGAGGACTGTTCAAAGGCCTTGGTCCGAATCTCATTGGTGTTGCACCCTCCAGAGCGATATATTTTTGTGCATACTCTAAGAGTAAAGTTGCGTTCAATGCAATTTTACCTCCCGATACTCCGATCGTCCATGTTTTCTCCGCATCCTGCGCTGGTAAGAACTATACTATTATGATATTAAATGAAATATATGATATATGCCGCGATATATATTAGAATCCTTTATTATTTGTCTAAATTTCAGAGTTTTAAATAAATAATTAGTCTTAATAATAATTTAAATTCTAAAAATTGGATCGAGTAGGTACACAGGCGGGATTTAATTTAGCAATTGATCTACTGTTTGATGTTATAATTTTCATAGTTTTGAAATACTTTATATTGTGTTAAGTTAAATTCTAAATATATTTTTTACATTAAATTAAATAAGTGTTTTATGCTAATAATATTTTTTAAACTATACTACAATATTTGAGATTTAAATGTTCCTTATTCTTTTTTAATCTATTCAATTTTAGTCTATTATATTTTTTAAGCATTTTAATTAATTATACATTTTCTGCATTGTGTTATGATAAAAACGTTTTTTATTTTAAATGATGTAAAATAAATGACATCATATATTGAATAATAATGAATATATAAAATTTCATAGTATACACCAATATTGCACACGAAAATATTATGCAACGATATTACGGAGCGTATATATTTATTTATAAAGCGATAGATGTCATCAATTTATACAGCTTGTTACATCATGATCGTTAAGACAATGTCATTTATAATAATTTTTTCTGTGTCACCTACTAAACCAATTCACAGTTTAGCCTATGAAATGATCATAGGTTTACATTTGTTTGCATTTATTACGCATTACCTCGTTTAAAATGACATTGCATTACGTATAATTATAAATATGTCGCCACTGTATATCTCTCGCTGCTATTTTTCATTGATCAACTGTTATTTTTGTATCATGCAATAAAAATAAATTATCTCTTTATCGCGATCATGACCCAATATTTGCTAAGTAAGACTTGATATAATTATGATAACATATTATAATTAAAATAAATCCACAACAAATAACGATGTTATAGTTTTTTTTACACTAACAATTTGCAATATGGTTTTATGTTTTTATTGCGCAAACTTTGAGAAAATTGATTGTTGAAGAAACCAATATTTTTCTAAAATATTGAATCTATAATGTCTTGCGATAAAATTAAGCTTGAAATAGATTTTATACATTACATACTATCTTATTAATTTTATTCATGACTTATATTATCCTGCGAGAAACTTAATATCTTGACCTTGATAATAAAAAAAAAAGAGAAAAAGATTAAAAAGAGCGAATCTATGCAATAATATCACATGTTGCTCTGTTTCCTTATGTTTCCATCGACAGATCCAATCACTGGAGCGGTGATAAACGCACGATTAAAGCTCGATGGGGGGGAAAGTATTCGCGTCATTCATGCGTATATCTTTAATGGATATATCGAAGTGCGGTCGTCGCATTGCGATTCTGACGCGCAGCTCCTTTGATGTCGATAACCCACGGGACACTCGGTACATATACCCGCTGGTACAATTATATACGCACTCTTTTATTTTCATTTCTTCGTCTATTCTTATCAAATGTTCTTGAAATAGATAATGATCAACTCGGATAAACTTTCTATGTAAAAAACATTAAATTAGCTCTTTTAATATTTAAATAGTTAATATGATATTGTTGTCTTTTGAACATAAGAAGATAATGATAAAAAGTCGAAAATAAAAAAATTGCTAAAAAAAAAACGAGCAATAAAGCAATCATATGCGTAAATCAACTTAGCATCATAGAAAAATTTGAGTATTAAGGTGATGCTGAACCCGCCTGTATTATCGATAAAACTTGGCGATCAACGCTGAAGATAAAAATGGATAAAGAAATCTGTATTTTCATATTTTTTCCAGCTTTGAATATAGATCAAGGAACAATATAGATTATAGATCAAGGACAGATGCATTAACAAGAATATTTAAATCGTGAAAAAGGAATTTTTATTCTGCTAAACCATTATGAAGAAATTAGACAGGAACGAAAACGTTAAAAACGCAAGTTTTATCGATAATACAGGCGGGTCCAACATTTCCTTAAGACGTAAACTGTAAAGAAATCACATGTTGGATCTGCTTGCATTATCTACTTTACGATTTCTACTGTGATTGGCCAATTTAGAGGTTTTCTACAATAAGCAAATAGTCATAAATTAGGGAAAAAATATATAGATTAAAATATATTAATAATAAATAATAATAATTAATAATAAATAATAATAATTAATAATAAATAATAAAGAAGCTATATACAATAGAAATTGACCAATTATAGTCAATTATTCTTTTCATATTTGACTGTGATCGGTCAATTTCTAGCTTCTGATTTTTTATCAATAACTTATTTTAGGAAACCTGCTTAAGTTTTTGTAATAATCCCATTACGTGTTATTTCATTGTACTTTGTAATTCTCGCCCGAAATAGTCGCTTTCTACAAAAAAGATGAAAGTATTGCATAATACGTCAATGCACTTTTTTCCCCTCTTCTATTTATCTTACAAATATGAAATGGAAATGCACTTGCACACCCGATAAATGATAGTCAATAAAACCATTTCGCAGAGCTATTAAAAGAGTTTATCATTCGAATTGTTGAACTTCGACCTGGAGAATACGGTCCGCTTATTGTCGATCTGTTCGCAGGGGAGCCACGCAATTGACGCGTGTGTCTCTTCTTCTCGCGATGGGATTGTTTATCATTTGCGCCTCTTTTGCGTATGTACAGACTGCTCAAGAATTTCTTAACTGCGAATTCTTCCATTTGTTCAGGCTCGAGTTTAGGTAATAAAAATTCGTGCTTGTTGATATCATTTTCCATTCTCGATATATCAAGAGTACTCCAAAAAAGTTATATTAAGACTAAATTTTTATATAGGGGATAAATATACAGATAAAAATTTGTATATAAATATTTTGAAAGTAAAAATTGATGTTTAAGTAATTTGAAATAACACTACTTTTATGAAAACAAAAGTTATATAATCATCCAAGTTTTGCTTCAAGCACGTTTTAAATTAAAATTTCATTAAACCAAGTAATAAAAAACAATTTTTTATTGATAAATCGCGAAAATTTTTTAATACCTATAATACGAAATCTATAAATCTTAAATTTTAGAAAAATTCAAAATGTTTAAAAATAACTTGGCAATTGATATTTTCCATATCATTCATCTATATCATTATATATGATTCACTTGTTATACTAATTTAAAATTAAAAAATTAATTTCACTATATTTTAAAATTGTAATGGCAGTATCGTCTGTTGCAATCATTCGACAATAATGTTCTTAATTCTTTGATATCTATTCACACTGCATCAAACGTTAATTGACAATTAACTATAACGTTTGCTCTAGAATACAATCTAATTTCTAGCACAATTATATATTGTCATTGACAGTTGAATGTCATTTGTATTATTCACATCTTGCATCTGTACGAGAGTATGGATTATCTCGTCTGTGAATAATAATCATCTCATGTACACATTTATATATTAGATAAGATGTTACATAAAGTCACTTTAACATATGTTTTCTGATTAATTTTAGTGATCTTGTAATAACTTTTATCATTGTTTACCTTTAATACCTCATGTGGCTCTTGTAATACTTTATAACAGCTCCTCTAATGTTTTTTTTTAATGGCTCTGAATTGTTTTTAAAAACCGAGATAAAAACAGATAGACTGACATGTTTTGCGAGTTGTGATAAAAGGCTACGAGAGACTGTATATATACATGAATTATTAAAAAGTATATAATTAGCGACGTTTTTTTTTTTTAATGAAAAGTTACATAAAGTATTTAATTTTAAAATATATTTGTATGTTTGTTATATATTACATTACTATTAATAATTTAAAAAATACAAAACTATTACAGTTTAATTAGTTTAATTTTTGTTAGTTTAGTTTTAATTTTTCAAGTTTGTTTAATTTTTTTTAATTTTTCTTTATATTTGATGTCAACTGTTATTTATTATATTAAATCTTTATTTATACACAGTATAACATATGTATATATCCGATATATATGTGTATATATATAGAATTAAATGTTGTATACGAAAAATACATATTATTAAGTTAATAGGAATTTTGATATTTGTTCTATAGACTGGACATGTTCGCATTTATATTTAGACATTTTGCACATATTATGTTTTCTATTAAATTAAAGACATAAATTTTAAATAATGTGTTTAGCGAAAAGAATGCAAATCAGACAAAGAATTTGCATCTTACATTTCTTTTTTATTTTTTGTATTGCTTTTGCAAATTTGAGGCGCATAAATAAAACATGTTTCTAAAACGGGTTTACACTGACCTTCTGTAGCACAACATGCATTTATCGGCGCCAAAATGTTCTATCTGTTTACTTACTTCCATCATCATTGACAAATTGATCATTCAGTGATTTGTAATCAATGTATTTTGTTGATTACAAATCGAATGTTGCGAATATCTACACGCATAAACAATGACATCGCTATTCGTGCATCACTTAACCGGAAATTTGCGTAAACAAACGATAAAAACTTCGCATTTCATGCTTTTGAGACACTTGAAATCGTTCTTTTCAGCAATACTTTGTTTTGGGAATATTATTGTATAAGTAATGTATGCTCTGTAAAATCTTTGAAGTAGAAACTAATTCTAAAGCGTAAAATCTATTTTTCGACACTGACTCAGTTATTTTATTAATTAATAATTAATATCACACTTTGTCACTCTGTAGAATTAAATTCCTCTCCAAACATTTTAGAAAGTATACTTGTTAATTTTCGATATTATAATTACCTTAAAAAAAATTAAGATAACATTTTTATTAAAACTTTATTTCGAATTTTGAAAGCAACATCTTACATATTAATTATTGAGTTTTTAAGTTAGACCAGAAAATGACTGTTTAGGGCTTTAGAATTTCAAAATAACATATTTGTTTTTACTTCATTGAGGAAATTGCTAGTGAAAGAATGATGCAAACTCAATAATAATGAAAACCACCATAAATACTACTTTATATGAAATATATCTATTAAGTTTTTCTACATTTTTTCATTTTTACATACACTTTGAATTGTTTTTCGGATGTAGGAAGTCGTACCAGGTATATGTTCGACGACCTTCTTTTTTTCTCTTTCTCTCTTCTCCATCTTTCTCTTTTTCTTTCTTTCTCTTTCCATCTTTTTGTCCCGTCGCTTCCTTCGTCAGCGGGCGAGAGTGCCTCTCCGACATCTATTTTTAGCCGTCCTCACCATGTAATTCAATGCCCGACTTCTATGCGTCTTGCGGTCGACTGTAAACGACAATAACTATCATCAAAGAATCATACGCGTCGACCGCAATGGTGCTACCGAAATCACGTCATAATTAAAGATAATGTGGTTTACAGTAAGAAAAAGAGGAATAACCGGTCTATATTTCACTTTAAAAAATTCTTAATGATCACAAACAGTCCCATTTTAGATATACGCCGTATTTTGCACATAATATTGCTTTTTATTTTTAAACCTTATATTTTAAGATTATGTGCAAGTCTTCTTTAGATAAGTTATATTATTCTTAGATGTTTAATACTGTAAATTTTACAAATTCTCAAAAATTGTAAAGCCTAAAGAATAATTTTTTAAATTAAAATTTATTATTTATTTTTAAATAAATAAATTTATTGATTTATTAAGAGTTAAACTTCCCACTTTCTTGGATATTTTTGCAGATACATTTAACAGATACATTAACTACGGATTCATCAGGTGTTCCTCCGTTCATACTTCCTCTTTAATATTTTCTTTCTCTCAAAAATATATTAAAATTTTATTTTCATAAATGTTTATCCAACTGTTTCTTTGCAAAATCTTTCAAATAAGGAATCATATTTTTATGTCACAAAAATATCAGATTTTATTTACCTTTCTATGAAGAAACATTTCGTATATATTATACATCATTTTAAAATAAAACTGAGAGAAAGAGAGCCTGTATAATTCGTTTTTTTTTTTAATATCACATTGCGTATTACATCGTAATTTCGTAATTATTATTTTCATACTGCCTTTAGCCTTAAATGTTTTTAAATTTTCATATTTTTTAATGTATTTCTTTAATCTGTTAAAGTCGCTTAATATATTTATATTTAATATGTTGTTAATACAATACATTGCAGAGATTAATATACATACATATGATGACATTGCAAACAGAATTTGTTTGCAATTCATTTCTAAATGTGATAAATATCAATCTGCCTTTTCGAAAAAAGCAAATTTCTATAAAGAAAATATCCTTTGATTTTTTTTCGCTTTTAATTTTTCTGTTGCGCAAAATCTACCTCTTTGGATTTACAAAAAATGTAGGAATGTAAGATTGAATATCACGATTTTACACGATCAATCTTCGTTATTTTAAATTTGCTCCTTTTAGACTGGATTTTTCAAACTCTCGTCGGCTCCCTAAGTTCTGCCGTCAAGTGGAACTTCAGGTAACGCTAAAAGTAAACAAGATATAAACACAAGTCGCCGCGTGCTATAAATTGCGCATTAAACGACGCGTATTCTTGATTACATAATTCACGTGCATTATCCACATATCCTCGGCACGCTGTGGCATAAGTAGTACGATGCTCTGCCGATCTTTCGCTAAACTGGGTCAATGGAAATAATAAATTAATTCTATGCATATATAATATTATATAATTATTTTAAATAAAAATATATAATTTTCAAATATCGAATATAAATGATATCTTATGTGTGTAAAAGATAATTAAGGAAAAGAGCTTACTCTTTTATCAATATTATGCAAGATTCTTAGACTCTTTAATAAAGATTTTAGTATTATTAGAGAAAGAAAAATTAAAAATGATGTTTACATATTATTTGATTAAAGGTGGTTTCAGCATACTGATCAAAAATCAAAATTGGGAAAACTTTATGTATATGAACTTTTATTTTCTATAGATAAATTAATCAATCAGCTAGATTTATTTTTTGTGAAATATTTATCGAGTATTATTACAATATTTGTAATAAATTGCCGTTCTAATCAAATTAACAGTATACGTTAAAAATAAGAAAAAATACTGCAAAATTTATTCGTGAAGCACTGAGCACCGTACGGATTCAAAATAAACGGTCGTTCACTTTTGCAGGTTTCACCGCGTGTACATTGACAAATCCGATTTGGTTCATAAAAACCAGACTACAGCTGGACCACCGATCACAAAAAGTCACAGCGATAGAATGCACGCGGAGGATATATCGACAATCGGTAAGACATCAAATATTTTTTATCGCGATTTGCAATTCGAAAAACTCGATAAAATTGCTATGCCGTGTGATGTATCAAAAATTTTGCAAATTTCTTGATTTTTAAATTGACAATTGTCGATTCTCTCTGTAGAGCTTTCTAAAATTAAAATAAATGTAGTACGTGGAAAAAAAACCCGAGGAGACTATAATCATATCGAGATAAAGGGCCAGTTAAATAAATGAAATAATTTTTGTATTATTTAAATAAATTATGCATATTATTATACACTACTAATATTCCCTACCTTTTTCTAATTTTTTTTCTTAGATTGCCATATTTTATCGTGGAAATCGTAATAATGAGTTTGTTTTTTTAATATGAAAATCACATTTACTGTTATATGCTGGAAATCAAATAACTATGTAACGTTAAATATAAGATATGTAGATATGCATTTTTCCTAGAACATTCTAAAGTGTTTCGTCATAGGATTTACTTATTTTGTTATTTACATATCAGCTGATAATTCCTATATTAATTTCCTTTTAAACGGATAATTCTGTTATATTAACGCTACTAACGATAAGTAAAATAAGGTACATTATAAACGTAATATTATAAATATAGATTGCGCATTCCCTGATTTTAACATCTGTGTTCCGTTAAAAAAAACAATGCAATATATATAGAATCGTATCAACATCTCTCATTGATTCTTAAGGCCTCTGTACACGGTCAGTAATACTGTCAGTATCAATGAATATTGACAATATTATTGATTGTGTGTGGTTAATATTAATGGATTGACGTAGAATACTGACGATGATTTGGACTTAAATACATGCTTTTTCCTTAAGATCCATGTCGCCATAGATAATAATATACGTCAAATCACGTCAAACTGAAGTGAAATATTATCAATAATACCTGATCGTATAAGATTATAAAAACTAATGTATACTGTCAGTAATACTGATCAGTAATACTGACTCAGTATTATTGACTGTGTAGGGAGACCTTTAGGGTTACTCTCTCTTTGTGTGCGTGCGTGCGTGCGTGCGTGCGTGCGTGCGTGCGTGCGTGTGAGAGAGAGAGAGAGAGAGAGAGAGAGAGAGAGAGAGAGAGAGAAACTACTCTTTTTAAACCGATAGTAACAATTAACTTCAATACAGTCTATACTTTTTATGTCTATTGTGCACTGAAGTGTATTTTTGTTATGAAAATTGCCATTTAACTTAGACCGCCGTTTAAAAAATGCTGTAGTTATCTAAATGATAACTAAAAATAATATATTTATCTAAATGATAATTAAAGTTAATACACTTATTTAAATGATAATTAAAGATAATATACTTATCTAGATGATAATTAAAGATAATATACTAGATAACTAAAAAATATACTTAACCCCGCAACGGCACACTTATTTTCAGCATCTTGGAACGGCATACAAAACTGGGTCATTTGTGTCTGACTTAATTTTGAGAAAAATTCTGTAAAAATGGACACACATTTTTTTTAAGATCTCTACTAAATTATTCTGCTATGTAGACAATGGAAAAAGATTTCAAAAAGTTAATCACGCAGGTATATGAGAATTAAAAACTGTTAGAAATGACTTGAACACGAACGATTTATGTGTGCCGTTGTAAAATTAAATATAATTAATATTTAGTTTTATACATAAGACAAAAATTCTACATATACGGGATATCTATGAAGTCTATCCTCATCCCTTGTATTTAGGAAAACAATTTGAAATTATGAAAAATTGCGAAACAAGTGTTCGATTATATATATTTCAAGAAACTCCAATTCCCTTACAAAAATAATTCCTTGAAATGATCAAACATGTATTTTGCAGTTTTTCATTATTTTGAAAATATAGGAGGTAAAAACAGATTTTACAGACACCCGTTTCTAAAATGTGAGAGATGGAGGTAAAATTTATAAATACAAAAAATATTAACAGTCAAAACGACATATTACAAAATGAAAATATACTGCTTGCGATCTTCTGTTAACAATTAAAAATTTTAGACATAAGAATAAATTCATCAATAAATATTAATCTTTTGGTTGTACTTTCTTTATTGGTATTCTATAACTATTGCTTGGATTTTTCCGGAATCAATAATTACTCGTTCATTTCTTTCTTTCGTAAAAACTTTTGTTGATAGTTTCTGAGATTATAAGTTTATTGATCATTTTACCAGATCATTGCCGAAATTACCATGTCACACTATTCAAGGAAATACTTACATTGCGGTATAATGAATGAATTGAGGAAAATCTAAAACAACCAAAGGATCCTTATAGATCATAAACAACACTGTCGCAATGACATCGATGAGTATTTATCGAACGTTAGTTGCAGCCAAGATTATTTTCTCAGTTGACGCAACGATACAGTATTTATATTGAAGCAAAGTAGCTTTGTCAGATATAGAACTGATGTAATCATTTTTTTAATATCTTACATGTAGATGTCGAAGTTTTTTTCATATCGAAGAAATTTTATAGTCCAAAATTTGTATATAATGTATTTTAAGAAATTATTACTTGAATAAATGTTATCATTTGACAACAATATATAAGAATATACTATAAATTTCGTGAATGTTTGTAATCTTTAGAATTCTGTTTAATCAATTTAATGGATATACTACATAATAATTTTTTAAGTTAACCATGAAGAAAATTTTTTAAGAGGGCTATTATAAAAAAAAATTATATTTAATCAATTCCTAGAAAGAAAGATAAGATTATATGAAAGTATAATTTATTATATTTAACATACTACTTATAAAATAATAACGAATTAGTTTGTTGGAATTATTTTTCATAAAAACATAATGATTTTTATTGACAACAAGCATTTGCTTTCAACGTACGGACAAATTGTTCACTTGTTTCGTCCTGTGGACATGTGTCAAATTGAATGTGTTTACTTGGAGATAACGACTGCACCATTTATATGCATATGTATTGAAATTGCGTACGACACATCGGAATCGGGCCAACTTCAAAACTGGCACCATGAATAGTACATCTACGAATAGTATGTACAAGTAAAAATATCTTGGAAAATTCCACTATGTTGAGCAACGCTCATGTAATAAATCTGTATATCCTGTCATCCTGTACATCATTGCATGAATTCGTGCATAAAATTGGAAATTGATGTAGATATACAATGAACAGTCTTAAATAACTCTATATACAGTTACAATATGATTAAAAATGTAGGAAATAGTCAATTATGGTGGAAGTCGACGTAAAACTTACTTGTATATTACAGTAACTTTTATACAAAATACAAAAATTGTTAATTTATAATAGTGTCTATTTAAAATAATTATTACAAGAAGTATAGTATTGCGAAGAGAAATACATACATAGATATTATTATTATTTTTTTTAATATAAATGTTATTAAATAAATAAAATATAAACATTCAAAAATTTACCAGCAAGTTAATAAATCAAGCGATGATAAGTAATAAATAATTTTCATATTTTACGATTTGGGTTTTAAGTTGAATTAATAAGATAATATTGTAGATCTGGTTGATGGGTTTCTCCTTGGGTTTCTCTATTATCATCGAAATATCATTTTATTTGGTTATATTTAATATATATTGTATGTATATTATACATACATATGTATATATATATATATTTGTTATCAGCCATACACACCCCTGAATCACTGAATTGCAAGTACATAACATTTTAAATGTTTGTAGCTTTCTTATCATAGATACGAACATTCAATTTAATGCTATCTTTAACTGAGCATGCAGATATCACGTGTTTCTTTTGGAACTCTTATGTCGAGACTTGAATATACCATTGATAAGAGGTGCATATATCGTTTTTATTATATTACTATTATTTCATTATTCAAAGATATAATTTCTATATTGTATATAATTTTGTGATATATATGAATAATTAATGTTAATATGTACATGGTACAATAATATAATGAATATACACTGCCGGAACTTGAAATCCTAACATCATGAAGGAGTTGTGCTAGATGAATGAAAGTGTTGATATGAGTTATTATATTGATATCACACACATATACACACACAATTCGTAGGATACAAATGTAGCATTACGACGAATGCGGAATAAAATTTTCCATTAGACACGTGTAGAGCTATTCAACGTTAGTATCATTGTGAAAAGCTGTGATAACGTGTGATAAAATTATACAGAATGTTTCGAAGGCAACAACGAACTGTATATCGATAATTAACCCATTTTGAACGAGACCGTATAATAGGCCTTCGGGAGGGTGGATTATCATTTCGTAATATCACGGCAAGAATGGATCGAGACGTCTCTACCGTATACAATTGTCGGCAGCAGTGGTCCCAGGACGGCATTGCTATCAGGAGACCGGGGTCCGGAGCCTCCCGATCAACTAAATTCATCTAGCATAACTCCTTGGTGTTGGGATTTCAATTTCCGGCCGTGTATAATTATATGTCATATATTTTTCATTTGATATATGCATAATCTTATTAATTGTTAATATAGTGAATTAGCTATTAAAAAAATGTTTTTATTTAATAATTTGATATTTTGTTTTATTATGTAAATAATAAAACAATGGCTGAATCTAATTTATTTTAATGTTGTAAATGCGATATTTTGTTCAAATTTTAAAATTGTGCAATTCCATGATATTAAAAAAAGAAAAAATATAAATATATAAAAAATAAAGTTAAATATATATACTTAACTTTATTTTTTATATATTTTTCTTTTTTCTTTTTTTAATATCATGGAATTGCACAATTTTAAAATTTGAACAAAATATCGCATTTACAACATTAAAATAAATTAGATTCAGGATATTATTATTCATGATATTTATGTTTTTTAATTATTTTTTTGCAGGGTATCCTGGGATTCTACAAAGGTATCGTGGCATCCTACATAGGCATAAGTGAGACTGTGATACACTTCGTGATATATGAAGCTGTGAAGGCGTGGCTAGCCACACATAGGTCGCGTGCTTCTCAGACAGATGATAGGAAAACGTTTCGTGACTTTATCGAATTTATGGCTGCAGGCTCATTTTCAAAAACGATAGCGTCTACTATTGCTTATCCTCATGGTAAGAATATTATATATTATTTTATGAAACATATGGATTTGCAGGACGCTCAATTAAATTTAACTAATCATTTCTTAAAGGAAACGAATTTGTAGAACTTTTTTAATGGATACTACAATTTATAAATTTAGTGACTGTAATTTGTATACTTAACTCTTTGTGTGTCTGTGTACTCGAATTACAATATAATTCGATTCTAATATTTGATGAATTCAATTAAAAATTAACTACAATTCACTATTAAGAGAACATGTTATATTAAAGATATCATTATTCATTTATTGTTTATTTGGTGAAAACTAGATAAAAAGATAGAGATTAAAAAAATATTAAAAAATTATTTCTACACTTAAATATAACAATATAGTCTAAAAGATACGCTATCAAGAATACAATTTTTAAAAATTATTAGATATCGTTTTCTTTTTAGTAAAATTGCGTTGATTTGAACTGATATATGCTTAATGAATTTACCACCAAACATTTTAGTGCGCTCTCTCTCTCAGTCTCTCTCTCTCTCTCTCCCCCCTCCCTCTCCCCCTCCTCTCTCTCTCCTCTCTAACTTTCTGTTTATATTTTTAAATATAAAGTTGAGAATTATTTTATCAAAAAAACAATTTTATAATATTTCTTTAACTGCCGTGACGATTATTAACGAATAACGAAGCATAAATGGAAAGCTCAATGTTGGTCATTGGTAACTGTCATGGTCGATGGCAATCAATAATGTGTTAATAGAGCATGTGAATTATAAAGTATAGCTTTTTCACATAGTGTTCTGATTTGAAGTAGTACATTTCTTTCTCTACCATTACTTTGTGAAAATTCTCCGAGTTGGTCTAAAGATAACACTAGCTATATTTGTAACGCGTGCCAGACACTCTGTGCGTAATTACACGTTATATCTATCTACAAATATTTGTGCCGTTCTGGTTGTTTGAATAACTAATATCGAATCTGTATTATACTGCATTTATTTTGAAACTGCAAATCAACATTATCATACACGGATCGCATGCGTCTTTTCGTTGAAAAACGAATTACATCAAATCGCACCATTTTTATTCAAAGAAAACTGCGTCATCACATATCAAGTTATTTTCCGATCGTTACGATAATAGAAAATCAATTTTATGATATATGTGTGTATGTGTGTGTGTGTATATACTTTTTTTGTACTTTAGTTCCTAATCTTATTTAAATAGTATTCTTGTTTAAATAAAATTATAAGAAAAAAATTTGCTCGCGCAAAATACACAGAATTCGTATATATACATATCTTTTTCAATTATATTTATATTATAATGATTAAAATTTCAATCTGAGAAATTAAGAGATTTTTATATGAAAATTATTTGTTGGAGGTTAATTTAAATATGGATACCAATACATTTATATAAGTAAAGGAATATTCACCATTATTAGTACTAATTTTATGATAGACGTGGGAGGCCCGTTCAAGAGTGGCGATATAATCTTATTCTTTTTCCTGTATTTAGAGGTCGCGAGAACCAGGCTGCGGGAAGAAGGCAGCAAATATCGTACATTCTGGCAAACCTTGAATACTGTATGGACGGAAGAGGGCACGAAGGGTCTTTATCGAGGCCTTGGCACTCAGCTAATTCGGCAGATTCCGAACACTGCTATCATAATGGCAACGTACGAAGCGGTAGTGTATGTACTGACCCGACACTTCCGGCCGGTTACGGTGGTGACATCCAGCACTGATGTAACATCGGAATTCTACAATGAGGCTAAAACGAAGAGAGAGCTGGCCTAGGACTTGCTTACGGCCCCCGAGTAAAGGGCCACCTATCAACATTTCCCCTTCTCCAGTAGGCGAAACTGCACGTACTTGGGGCAGCATCCTAAGATCTAATCGCACATCTAGGCACATCGAGAGCAGTTGGAAACGCGTTCGATGCCCTAATCATTGCTCCAGGGGTACTCAAAAAGGTACCAGCTCTTTGGTCGCACTGTGCTCTAAAAGTATAGCAAAAAGTAGCCCTTCCTCCTTTCAGATAGCATGTACATATCCAGACATGGACCCGCTGTATCTCGCAGGGAGAAAAAGAGAGAGGTGAGGGAGAGAAAAGGGGAATTGAGGAAAGCCAGATTTTATTTAGCGTCGGATAAACAAAGGCTGAGACTTCGCTTCTCGTTCGCAATAATGTGGACGTGCGTGAATATCGCAAAACGTGAACTTGTATTATAAGATTGTGTTATCAAATTTATTCAAGGCAATTAGCCTCTGTTTCAGAAACAAAACTCACTCCAAATCCAAAATATATGAGGCTCATTATAATAGTCATTGTAGACTTTAGTCTCTGATCTAAGAATTTTGATTCTGATACTGTTTTTTGTTCCACAATTTGCAATTTTTCTTTGCATCTCGCTTCTTTTTTTTTTAATTTTTATTCACGAGACAAAATTAAAAAGAAAACAAAAAGCGTAAAATTAGACTTTGGAAATGGATCATATTTGTAACTTTACAATGCTTCGTGAAAGAGCAGCAAATATAATGTATAACGACTTTTGAGTTTGTGAATTACGCTAAATTTGATTTTCCACTTGCTTCAAGTAAAATATTGGTACTAAAAATCGATTCTTTTAACTGGTTTTGATCGTAAATGGAATGATTATTGCAGAGCTACTTCTCTTAAAAGTTTCAACATTTCTACCTTAGGACTCTAATAAAAATCATATGTTGTAAAATTGTGATATTTCAATATATATTAAATTTTATAAAAGAATTTTTTTGCTCTATCATAAAACTTGGAACAATAGTATATTGAAAATTATACACGTTATTTTGATATTAGTATATCCAAGAAATGTTACCAGAAATAACATTTGAAAAATTGTTAAATGGCTAAACGATCTATGTCTATAATTCTTATAAATATTTTATATATTTGTTATGTCGACGTTCTGTTATATTTAAATTTATGTACGAGGCAATTTCAAAAAATTTCCGGAATTGTCACAATATTTACAATATGTATATTTACATTTTAATTTTGCAGAAATTTAAAAAATATTAATTATATTATCATATGATGACAAAGCAATAAAACCAATTTAAAAATACTGAAAGGACAGTTTTTTTGTTGCTGATATTATTTAGATGCATTGATTTAGCTTTTTTCGGTTGAAATAATAATTCCAATAATTTTGCAAAGCTCTGTATAATTATCCAAAGAAAACAGAAATTTTTTTTTTATTTAACCTTCTAATACGAAATTTTATTTTGTAGATAATGTAATGTAATATATTGTGTTTTCTATTTTAGAAAAATGAAAAAATTCCTGAAATCTTTGAAAATACTTCCTACGCTTTATAAAGTTTTGTAAACACTGTTTTCTAAACATGTTTTCTAAACACTTTATTATAGCGACAATTCTGTTCGATATATCTTTATTTTATCATAATTTTACTGTACTTTTTTCGTATTTTGCAACCAACTTTGTAAATTTCCTCGCTGATATCTCGCGATAAAGTGCAACTAATTCTTAATGAACCAATATACGTTTGAACTTATTCTTAGAGACAAAAGCAAGCAATGTTAATATTAGAATACCTGTCAGAGGACTAGCGTGTGTTAGACTGTTCTGATAGATTTTACTTTATTTATGTAGAAAGATATCGCGACGTTGTGTACATATCGAACTGTAGGTTCTAGCGCTGTGTACATTTATAAGCGTTCATACATTGAATTAGTCATAACATCGCATGATGTACGATTTTTAGCAAAAGAATTAAAAAAGTATTACGAGAACATGAAATTATCGTCATTACACACACTTAGTGTATATCTCTCTTACAAATCAAACTTATAAGACACGCGAAATAGTCAATAACGTATCCTTATTGGTATCTTGAACTATTCCTGAACATACGTATTTTTATTTTTGTGGGAAGGTAAAAACCCGTTTGTAAATTAAAAAGGTTTGTCGACATTAAGATTTTTACAGAGTTTGTTTTATGAAAAAAACAATTCTTTTCCTTTCCTTTTCTTTTCAAACAGCTGTATAATTTGTTGATTTAAAAATAATTTTACTTAATTATAAAATGATTTTATCAAGTTCATTTTTATAAATAATCTTCAATTTTTTTATGAAAGCATAATAAAATGTTATAATTTTAATTTAAAATGTTTAAATATTTTATTATATCTTTATATTTCCAAATGCGTGCCATTTCATTAAATTTTTGTTAATTACCATCACAATATGATATTATGTGCTTTTGTTTTTACACAATAGCTATATAATTTTCTGAAGTTAATAAAGTTATATACAAGACGTTCTGCTTAGACGTTTAATAAAAGAAATTATCATCAATTAATTTTGAACTTACCACAATGTTTTTATCGATGACATATTCTTCCAGATACAAAAATTCCAATGAATTTCAGAACTGCTTTTCACATTAGCGCCCACCTGTCAACTAGTTCTCTCTTTGTATGTTACGAATTTTTCCTTTGTTATACGTCTAAGCAAAGCATCCTGTACATTGATGTTTTATATCAACGTTCTAGAATTAAATTTTATATATTTGATACGTTTCGCACAGTTTTATGGTGTTCAAAAAAAGTTTATATATTATACATTTATGTATTGTTTTCTAAAACTTGTACTTGATCGGTCAGTACTCGATGTAGGCCATGATTTTGATCAAGAAAATGGATAATGTGGAAAATACATAGTTGATACTTACATACATTTCACTGGTTATGCAGGGAAAAGCCTTTTTTCACATTATACGTAAAGGAGCTGTGATTTTATTTTATTCATTATCAATGGAGCTTGACGCTTATAAATTCAGTAGGATGTACAATATTCATAAAGTTTATGTACTCTGTCCTATAAGTCGTATAAATTAGACTTAGAACTTATTAAGAAAATATAATAAGATTTTGAGAATAACACAAAAATTCATTAATTTATCTTCAAGTTAATTTAGGATGATTTTGAATAAAAATATCAGCAAAAATAGTATCTACTATTGAAAAATACGCAAGAAGTCATTTGATCTTTCTCAAAGATGAAGCATAAAAGGGATATCTCAGAGAAATATGCGACTTTTAGAACATCGTATGTGATTGACATGTTAACTGTTAGCATCTCTTGTTGAAACTTCTATGATACCGTTGTCAATTGTAAAATATGTATGCCCCAGGAAAGCAGATTCTAAGTACCAGGCTGTTATTAGTCGTGTGTATAGTTATTTGCATAAGAGTATCATGCACCTTTTAAAGGATCGCGAAAGAGTATGAGATGTGTGTGCCAAGTTGTAAAGCATGTACAGATATTAGATATTATTGGAATAAGCAATGAATTTTTCTAATGGAGAGAGCACGTAACAAAAAATGTAAACAGAATGAGAGAGAGAGAGAGAGAGAGAGAGAGGAGAGAAAGTGAGTGAGAGAATTATTTTCACGAGAAACGAGCGTTTTGTTAAAGACTGACGTTGTACAATTACTTAGCGTAGCGTGAGAAAATCAATGCGTATACAAATATATGCAAGATCCTATAATTGCGCGTAGCGTCGTTAAAAACGGAAAATTAATTTAAGTTTGGTCAATATATGTGAAATCACAAGCGCACTTTATTTTTCTAAATAAAGCATTTTTATTTGTTTCTTACCTTTCTCATTCATATTCGGATAGATTGCTGGAACGAAAATTTAATGAGATTCTTACAAAGAGAAAAGCCATTGTTGAAAAATACGAATTTCTTGGAAACGAAGCCTCATATATATGTAAAAAAATTTATTGTACATTTTCGATTTATTTTTTTATGTAGGATTACCTTTTCCGATTGTATTATCGATTACAGGGTATCGTCTGTATGTATATAAGCTTATGATACCCAGTAAGAAAATTATATGTACGGATAAATTTATGTGTATTTAAATATCTCAATAAAGATTAAAAATACGCCGTGCTTATTGTTTACTTAAATTCTTTTAATAATATTCTATTAAATGACAATATTATTATTGCGAGTATTGTTTAAAATATTTATATAGACTTCTACATTGAATTTTGCTGATTTTGTGTATAACAGCTGTTAATATGTATACTAATCTTACATAATGCATAAATGACCCCTTATATATTCGCTAATAGATTTTTAGTACTGATAGTATACAGAAGTATACTACAAGTCAGTGATTATACAAGTGCATATTTCAAATTTCGCACTTTTCCGTCACGGCTCACGTTCCTATCACAGTACAGACTTCTAACTGAGGTCTGTAATCTGTAATAATATCCTACGATGGTAATTCTGTTGCGAACATGGTGAAAAGAACCACCGTGCAGTGTATCGGTCGAGTTGTCGCATTGCCACTTTCCCGCTACTGATGCTCCGAAGTAATGATTGATCAATCGAAAAAAAATTTTACTGACCAATCAAAAAATGTTTCGAAGCAACTTCATTCGATCGCATAACCGCACTTCCATATCTTCATTATCTTGAAGGAAACCACAAAAACGCAAAAACAGGATAGAGACAAATACGCAAGAGATTGCAAGAGATATAAAGTGGTAAAAACCAAGAAAAGAGGAAGTAAACATACATTGTAAAGCTAGTCTTTAAATAGGTTAGAAGCAGAATATTTCAGTGTTATTAGTTACACTGTATTCAGAGAGAATAGAGAAACTTCTCTGGTATATTAAACAAAATGACGAGACGCGTTGCTGTGGTATGTATAAATTACGCAATTACGTAACAACAAATTAAGAATCTTTATATTTCTATTGCGATGAGTGTGTGTGTGTGTGTTTTCTTTTCCTGAAAATTAATTGACAAACATATCATTCTTTGCAGCTGCATTTCGTTATACTTAAAATAAAATAAGTACATATCAGCTGTTTAAAAAAAAGGATTACATATTTTGAGAAAACAAGTAGTATTTATCAAAACAAAAAAAAAGTCCAGTGAACATCGTCTAAAACACATATCTGTTAAGACTTGTTTCAGAGTTGTTGAGTTAAAATGTGAGATAATTTTTGAGTGTGGGTTTCATGGATAAATATTTTATTCTTGTATTGAATAAATACATAGGTTTTATATTTTGAATTTTAAATTTTGAGAGTCATTAAACTTTATTTTATTGTAACATTTAAAGTTTATGTAATTTTAATTATTTTATTCTTGTTTACTGAATATTAAAAAATAAGAATAAAATGATACATCAAACTTATCATATATAAAATGGAGCGTATTCTTTATTGTCAATAGAAAAGATGCTTTTTTAATATATTTCTATTCATTTAATAAGCAATGGATTTGTCAGAGAAGTCCAGTAGTTTCGTATACCCTATCTTTCCCTGGCCTTAATTCTTTATTTAATTATAGGAACATTTAAAAAACTTGATATATTCAATACTCATTGAGATAACATACCAATGTAGGAACGTTAAACATATATTCAATGCATGTCAGCAAATTCAAAGCAGTAAAATGTGTTCGCAATAATGTATGATTTTCTGAGATATAAAACTAAAAATTGTGTGATAATGAATGGGAACCACATAGAATACTTCCATAATTAGATAACATAATGATAAGCATCTGATATTAGATATTAGAAAGGAAAAGAGGAAAGCGTAAGCATGTACAAAAATTTTAACTACAAAGAATATGTTTTTATTTTATATAATTGAGAACCATCGAAATTTATTAATTTTTTCTTTCTCTCCAGTATCTAAACAAATATTTGTTTTATTTTAGACATAGAAATATAACATGTAACTGTAAAGCATAGATTTATAGATTTTGATTGGCAAGTGTAATACTATTGTTTAGGTAACTGGTGGAAACAAGGGTATCGGCTTTGCTATTGTGAAAGCTCTCTGTCAGCAGTACAATGGAAATGTTTACTTAACAGCTCGCGACACCACTCGTGGATTGAATGCTGTCAGTGAACTGAAAAAACAAGGCTTGAATCCAAAATTCCATCAATTGGATATCAATGATGACGACAGTGTTAATACATTCCGGGATTACTTACACAATACATATGGTGGTCTTGATGTGCTGGTTAACAATGCCGCCATAGCATTTAAAGTAATTAAAGATATTGATATATTATTAATAATAATTAAAATAATCAGTTAAAATAATCAGTGACACATTATTGATATATATACAATAAAGTATATGTTAATATAGTATTTTAGTATTAACATTAACGATATAATGTAAATTTGACAAATATATTTCTATTTTTTAAAAACATAATTAGTTTAAAAGAAATAATTTGATTTTAAATAGAGAAAATATGTTTCTTTCATATTCATATTTATATAAAATATTAGCAAATGCTAGTAAGTGCAAATGAGTACAAAACACTCGAAAAGGAATGTTAGTAAGGCTAGAACAAAAGGATTACAAGATATTAAGACGATCAACTAATTTAATGTTTAATAATATTCAGAATTAACGCATAAAGTAATATGTTGTGACTGCACAAAGTCTTCTTCAATTCATAATATACAAAAGAATGATAGAATACTAAATATACATAGCAAAAAAGAACATGAATATATTTATATTGATGAATATATTTATATATTTTAATCTAAAACGGAATGATTTTGTGAGGATAAAGTTTGATAGAAAAAAATTATTAGAAGGTATATTAAAATTTACTTATTTACAGGTTAATGCTACGGAATCTTTTGGGGTCCAAGCTGAAGAAACAATACGAGTAAATTACTTCAGCTTACGTAGAGTGTGTACTGCTCTCTATCCGTTACTCAGATTGCATGCCCGCGTGGTTCACATGTCGAGCAGTGCTGGACGTCTATCTAATATTACTGGTGAGGCATTAAAACAGAAATTAGCTGATCCAAATTTGACTGAAGCAGAATTGGACGAAATTATGCACGAATTTGTCAAGTAAGCTTTATTATTTCTTCAGAAATAATTACATATTGATTATAATTTGAAAAAGTTTTTCGAGATTTATATTTGTTTACATTTATTTTCAGTGTTGCAAAATCTGGTACTCATTTACAAGCTGGTTGGTCAAATTCAACATATGTGGCAAGTAAAATCGGTGTTACTGCTTTAGCCGGTATTCACCAAAAAATGTTTAATATGGATTCCCGAGAAGATATTGCAGTGAATGCAGTACATCCTGGTTACGTAGATACTGATATGACAAACCATAAGGGAACTTTGAGACCAGATGAAGGGGCTATAGCTCCTGTTTACTGTGCATTGTTGCCAGAGAATACAGACATAAAAGGAAAATATATCTGGTATGATAAGACATTAGCAGAGTGGAAATAAACAGATGGGTAAACTGGATTGTATTATAATGCATAATATGTCAAGAAAAGTTGAATTATATTCCATATATATTTCATATAATTATATTCCATATAATTATTTTTATGATATTAAATATACTATAAAAGAGAGCAAGAATAACAAAAATTACAAAAAAAAAATATATAAAAGCTATTTTATTACAAATATTTTCTATGTTAAAAACAGCTGAATAAATATGTTTATATTGAAGAATATTTTTGTACATTATTATCCATATTAAGAAAAATTTGTAAATAACGTAAAACTATTCCATGTAATATGTATGTACGGGAACACGAGCTCATGCCTTTGTGCAGTGTTGCATGACGTCACGACAGCTGTTCAGGCCGCTCATTAATATCAGATCCATAAAGGTTAATCAACGTTGATGAAGAAACATTAGAGACGAAAGTAATACTTAATCGAAATTGTAATCCGCAATTTTCTTCGAATTTCCCTCCGCACAGTTTCCACGGCTACCGTGGCGTCGATCTATCGAAAATATCGAAACCGTTCGCGGTCGATCCGCGAGTCCGAACAAAAGCAAATGGCGATCGTGCTGTGGCATGTACGACTGATTGTATTGTTTCGCGAATTAACCGATCACAATCTCAGATTTTTAGTATCGATCGATGGCAGTTCCTAGCGATGGCATGATGAATAACATACCACGCGTGGAACAGCTCGTGGGCGACGAATGCCGCATCTGTCTCAAATCCTGCCCGGAGGCGTGCCAGCTATTCTGCAACGATGGCGGGATACCGGAGAAGTTGATGGCCATCGCCGCCGTACAGGTTAGCTCCCTTTTTTCTTTCTCTCATCTCCTCCAGTTTTATTTTGAATAAGCGTCGAAAGCTACCTCTGTATCGAATAATACTCCGGTGTTTTTTCTGTCGCACCTGCGATGTTCTTGAACCCGTTCAGATTTTGGAGGGTTTCTACTCATTGTTGACCTCTATGCCAGTGAGAGTGTCGTTGTTTTGTCTGAACAGTGTAGTTCTTTATTAATACCGATTTCATTGGAAAATTAATAAGGGTTTCGAGATCAAAGATTGTTTGGAATATCTTTCAAAACAATATTAGTAAGTGGCTAAAAAATTAAAAATTAAAAATATATTTCAAAAATGGATTACGAGCCATAAATAAACATATTACAGTATCTAAATTACAATAAGATATATGAAATGTATTAAACCGATTAAACATTTCTACTTCAATTGAGTCATTTTCAATAACAAAAAAAAAAAATAAACTCTTACAATTTACATACTAAAATAAGACTGTTATAAATAAATATATTTAGTGAATTCAATATCTTTCAACCTTTTATTTTCATTTAAATGTAAAATTGATCGTAAAAAGCGATTCTGCTTTACGGTTTTACCACTCTAGTTTCTTCCTGATGTAAAGATGTAAACAATGACACAAGTTGCTTACACTCACACTATCACTTATGATTAGAAATTGTCAGAAATACATGCCTGTTTCTACTAATATAGAATAACTTTCAATTTAATACAATTTTTAAAATTTTTCTTTCAGTTCTCAAAATTAAACGAGTAATACTTACATATATGTTTACATACAGGGTGTCTCAGGATTTAACAACTTGCAGAAACATAGACATATTATACTAAACAAATATTAAAACAAATATTAAAACGGAGCATTTTGGTGGAACATTAGCATTTTGATGGCTACTTTACCTAATAGTGGAAATCTAATAGCCATTCTTTTTGAACGTAGTCATTGTCTCTGAGCTGAATGAATATCATATTCACATATCGGTTGAAATAATACTGATTCATTTAAAGATAGTAAATATGTAAATATAAACATTTGATTTTTCTATACTTGCAATGTACACTTTCATATTCGGCACAATAAAAACTCTATTTATTTTGAATTTTACATTCTATTTCAACATTTGTTTATAATAAAGCATTTCATAGCCAAACTTCATACAACATTTTTTCTTCTTCCAAAATATTTTTACAAAGTAGAACTATTATTAATTTTCATAAATTACAGGTACTGGAAGGAGATGGCTTGCCAGTTTACATCTGTTCAGCTTGTAATCATTTGCTCGATGTATCCTATAACTTTAGATGCCAGATTCAAAATGCCGACGAAAGACTACGACAGATTCTGAAGTTGCAGATTCAGCCTATGTTGCACAATGTGAAACATGTGAAGGATACCATCATAATCAAAGATATCGCGGATGCCATATCTAATGTAGTATGTTGCAAAAAAGATAATCATATAGAGCAAAACATTTCTTCGTCTCACAATATTGTTGTGTTTAATGATACTGCCGTTCAGTCTGATGTGGTAATCAATGACTCTCATATAAGTGACTCTCATAAGATACAAAACACAGAAATTATAGAATCAAGTGAAAAAGATGTACTGTATGGTACAGTTAAAGATAATATACATAATGTTGAAATGATGGAAATAACCTTATGTCATGAAGCACATATGGATGATGCAGTTGTCGATCATTCAGATCAATTGTCTAGTTCAATAATGGAAGACAGATGCATTAAACAAGAGGATTTGATATTACCTGAAGATAATGAAACATCAGGAAATTTAACAGACGAAAATAGAGAAGATATATTAAAAATTGAAGCTAAGAATATGTTGCTGAAAAATTTGGATGACCACAGCATTTCAAAGGAAACCATAGTGTTAGAAATGAATACAAAAAGCGTCACAAATTGTAGTGATGACGAGGAAAAACCACTTATAAGCAGAACAACGAGACAGAAGTGCTTGCATTGCATCAAATCATTTGCAACAAAATTTGCATTGCAGCGACACATGAACATACACAAACACAAGACAGATGCATATGTACGTTACATATGCGTTATGTGCAACAAGCATTTTTCGAATATTAACAAATTGAAAAATCACATGATTATGTGTCACGAGATTCAGCCGCCAGACGATAAAGCGTCACAAGATGACAGAAAGGCAAATAAAGTGTTGGCGAAAGTTACTAGAAGTGGTACTATGACGGATAGCACAAGGGAAGAGAAGAAAAACTTCAAGTTTACATGCAAAGTTTGCTCGAAACAATTCATATATCAAAAATCCTTTTTGTCTCATGCCAAAAGTCATGTTGAATACAATGTGAATACATTGAATGATATACTTGATCAATCTACAAATGATGTGACAAGTGAACAAAAAGATAGGATGTCAACATTCAGAGAAAATGAATCTGAAGAGGAGGAAGAAGAAGAGGATGACGATGACAGTGATTTACCGATCAAAAGTCTTCAGTGTACTCAGTGTGGTAAACTTTTTGCTACAAAGAGAAATCTGAAGAGGCATATCTCAACGCACAGCGGCTTGAAGTTTAATTGTTCAACTTGTGGTAAAGGATTTTCAAGAATCGACAAGCTGAAGGATCATGAACAATCGAAACACAAAGAGGAAATATTCGGCAACACTGATGACGAAGACGATGACGAGGAGGATAACGAGAGCAAAATCAATGAGAATTCCGAAAACCGAAAGAAGGCAAGTTTATTTTATGTATGAATTCTATATGTACATTTATTATACAGTTCTAGAAATCATGTTACAATTAGGAATAGAGTGATTCTATATGAAAAAATAAATAAAAAACGTAGAATAAAATTTTAAACCTCTTCCCGATTGTGTCACGATTTATAGAATACCTTGTATTTGTGTAAAAATATTTGCGAACTAACCATGTTTATTATAATTCTTGTGTTTGTAATTTACAATAAAAATTAAATTGGTTTATATCTCTATTTGTTTCTACAAAAATATGCATCTCTAACAACGTAGCTCTAACAGGTTTGTTTTTTCATAGGAGCGACACAACAGGCCACATAAGTGCATGCTTTGTCCAAAGGCCTTCGCGCAAGCTCAATCTTTGGCAAACCACGTAGAAAGACATAAACGGGTGAAGGACACGCAAAAACGGTTTCTTTGCGAAAAATGTAGCAAATGCTTTGCTCAGAGTGGCTCGCTGGTGGCGCATATGCGTACACATACTGGTATCAAGCCATATGTATGCAATGTATGCAGTCGTGCCTTCACCAAGAGCACGTACTTACAGTTGCATCTGAGAACTCATAGCGGTGAGAAACCGTATATCTGTCAGTATTGTAGTAGAGCATTTGCCCGGGCCAATACTCTGGCGCGGCACATCACTATGCACACTGGTGAGGCCAAATATCATTGCAACATCTGTACCAAGTCCTTCCGACGATTGACCTCGCTGAACGAACACACGTATACACATACCGGTCAACGACCGTACGCGTGCAAGCTTTGTACTAAGAGGTACAACAATGCTGGCTCGTTATATGCTCATACGAAGAAGTGCAAGGCGCAGCAATTATCCAACAGTTCGACAACGTCTGCGTATGCGGTGTCCACGACAGATAATGTACCCCAGCAGAACGACGCGTCTATGCCCCTACTAATCTATTCTCCGAGGAAGCTGGTAGAGGAAGCGGCTGTTGGTCAAGTCGTATCCACGCCGCAATACATGGTAACAAATGTGCACAATCAAAAAACAGTGCCGGCCAACGTGATCCAATCGTACACCGTAGAGGACCCAAACATGTATAATTCAAAACAGTTTAAGAACTCTTATTACGCTATTTATCCAAACATGCAATAATCCTCGATCACGTCTGGTTGCCTATTGTCATTATCCAGTGATTTCATATTAAAAATCTGTTAAACTAACAATTTAAAGCTGTGTTCTGTTATTGAGGAGTACTGACAATCTAGTTTACGTAAATTATACATGTTCAGTACACACAGTGAATAACGAAATCCCAACAATATTACTGCAAATTTTGTGCTGTTGGGAAATACAACCTGAAATAATATTACAACACAAAGAAAATAGAAAAGAAATGATGTGTCAGTGGACTTAGGAAGCTCCAGAAATATGTTAAATAATATTCAGTTAAATATGTTTAGAATTGTTGTATACATAAAAATAAGAGATTTCGTGTATAATTTCAAAATCGGAGATTGAATTTAAATTTATTACGATTTTTAGGACCTATCCAAGAAAGTTAAGAGTCACGATCCGACTCTAACTTTTTTTTGTTTTGTTTATTTTTCATCTAATCAATGTATAAAATGGATAAAAAAGTAAATAATAACTTCTTTGTTTATATAAGAAAAAATACTCATAAAAGAAGAGAAAGCATTACTATTTGATTAAAGCATATGTTGAAATATCTAATCATTTTTTAAGAATAAATCTTACAGTTTTCAATTCAAGCAAAAAAAAAATATATAAGTTTACTAATTGATTTTAAATATTATAATTGTAGTAGAGAGAACAAGAAATTTTGATCGTGTGATGAAGTCATGGGTCACATCTGAACCCTATCTCATCATTGGAGGTTAACAATCAAAAATCTATTTTGCATTTGTACGAAAAATTTCAATATATTGGGTTGATTAACGAGTATAGTTCACTCATTATTGCGAAAGAATTCGGCTAAATAATTCGTATCCTTGAACATTATGCAAGTGCAGTAGTATTTCACGAATAACTCAGGTTATAGAAGTTAGAAGGTCTCGATATATTATAATAATGTACAAAATATAAAGAAAAAGGAATGGTTAAAATTAAAAGATGTTAGAAATATTAATAGATATCTACATATAAAATTTATATAAATGGATTCATGGACATGAAGATAGAATGACTGGACTGATTTATCTATTTGAAAAAGAAGATAGAAGGAAGAAATGGAAAGAGAATAGGAAACTTACAGCATATTCGACCCGAGCAGTTTTGCACTTAAGTTGAATTAATGACATTTCGTACTTTTCTATTAGCAGAGAGTGTAATATCAACTAATAGGAAAGCATTTTTTAATCCAGATTAGTGCAAACCTGGTCGGACCAAAAAACGCTAATAGTAAATATAATCTTGATTGCGCTGTGCTATTAACACTAGCTTTGAATGTGTTAGACAAAGCGTAATATTTTCGAAGTAATGTAAATAAAATAAATTTAAATATATTTTTATAATATGTACACGTTGCGTTATTAATATATAAGAAAATATTACCAATATTAAAGGTATTAAAATCTGTTAAAAGTGTTAAACCGCATATACTTAAAATTAAAGGAAATAACATTTTAATGGATAAGAATTACACTGGAATAATTAAAATATTAGATTATGAGAAACCAATTAAATAATTAAGTGAAACAAATTAAATGAAATGACTTATTCTTAATTTTTTGCTTTTTTTATGTAGATTCTATAAAAAGTAATATCGATAATACATATTCTATTATATTTTATAGATTTGATAATTTACTGTTTTTGATAGTTTTAAATTCTTGGAATTTATTATAATATTAGATTTCAATCTGTCCAGTTATTTCTTGTGTCCATGAATAGATACATGTATAACATTAAATAAGTAATTATTCTTTTGATTACAGATATATAATGTATTGTCTTATCCTGACGAAAATATGAATACTTTATAAAGCGTTGACAACTGTTCAATGATGATTTTTTTTAAGAGTTTGTACGCAAATTTTATAAGAACGCTTAAGCTGTAATCACACTACAGACTTCCGACTCTGACTCGACTACTGACTTGGACTGCTAACTATCATTCAACCAATCACAGCAAGGCAGCAGCCGACTCCGACTGCCGACTCGAGAATAAAAATCACTCTATTCGGTCCACTTGGCGCTTCAAACGCTACAGAGCATTTGTAGGTAACATGACTGGTCCATCTCTGCAACGTTACAATTTCTGCTTTTTAAACATTCTACTCAACAAACTGCAAACGCTTAAATAAGCGTCCAAAAAACATTTATAAAACTTTATTTTCGTCAGGGTAATCATCCATATATGTTCCGCTATTATTGTTTAAAAATTATGGTAAATAATACATTTTAGGTGATACCTCACCGATTTAAGTATATCTTTTAGATATGTTGTAGAGAAGAGTGTCCTAAGTGATTTCATGAAAAAAAATTAAGTGGGGGACGACATTGGTTTAGGTAATATGATAAATTAAAATTTTCTAATAAAATCACTGTATGTGGAAATCGTGTTCCTCTTGAGAGTGGGATGGAGTTCGCTTAAAATTTGATAATAACATTTATATAAAGATTTGTATTATATTATATCTCTTATATCAATATTATCTTCTACATATTATAGAACTTTAATTTATTATATCTCCTAAACCAATACCGTCCCTCACTTAATTTTTGCAGATCATTCAAGACAGTCTCCTCTACAACATATGTAAAAAATATTTAAATCGGTAATGTGTCACCTAAAATGCATATATTTACCAAAAATTATAATGATATATTATTTTATTTTGAGTTTGTTTTTTCTTAGCGATAATTTTATAGAAGATTAAAAAAAGAAATTAATTTTAATTTTTTTTAACTATTTAACATTAAATAATTTATTGATTAAACATCAAAAATAAAAATATCTTTCAAAATTTATATGAATTAAAAAATAAACTTCTGTTTCTGAGAAGAAAAGGGATATTAAATTTGTTAAAAGATCAATTGTTTAACTTTTAACTGGTAGTGATAAAATAGTCTCGATAACTGTAGTATAATAGTTAACAATTTTTTTAGCGTGAAGACTGGAATACTATAGAACATAGATTATTATAATATATTATTAAATTAAAAACACGACAAAATTGTCTACTTGGTAAAAATAATATTTTCACTGAAATTTACTATTGATATTAAATACGTCCTATAAAAAATTAATTTTTCATTATATATACTTTTATTGTATTTATGTAAAACACTGATCGATTTTCGTATAATGTTTACAAAAATTTAATTGTACAGCGTACTTTTAAGACAAAATTAAATATAAATATATATATATATTTGTAAATAATTTAAAATATAAATATATATTGCATCTTTATGTAAAAGTAGTATATATTTCAAAAGTGACTTTATAATTCTAGTAGCAATTTATTGACGATGGAGATATATTGGGTCAATACTGGGTCAATATATTGTGCTACTAGGATGCTTTTACATGAATATGACAAATATCGAAAACAGTAACACAATGCAATATTTTATAATAAAATTTATACAAAAGTAACCGTATATGTGTGTTGCATATTTTTTCCTCGGCGAAGTAATTTGCTTATGACATAATCATCAATTAATAACAATAGATAAGAAAATTCGAAATTATTAACACAAATATAGAGATTAGGAAAATTTTGTTTTTTAATTTATATTTTTTGATTGTGTGACACTATTTTATTTTGAATTTATTAACAAGATGTAACAAAACGGTTTATCTCTTTAATTTATTCAACTATTATACTTTGAAAAATAATCAAAATAATTGAACTCGCCTCAAAAATTTAGGAGCGTCCATACGGTATAATGTATAAAAAGTTCGCATCTTTTGAATCTTCGTTTTATAAAAATTAAATCGAGATGACTGCAGAGCATTATCATTTCCATTCGTTTTATCGTAAAAATTGAAAGCATCTTAAGCTTGACTTATATCACTTGAACTGTAAAGCATCGTTTATATATTTTCCTTGGAGACTAGTAGAAAAATCGTTAATTTCCGATGTACCAGCCTTGCATGAAAGAAAAATGATAGCCCGCTGTGTTTTCAGGCGCGGAAATATTAAATTCTATTCCTGCGGGTCTTCGCGGGGTCGAAAGGCGATGCTGGGCCGCGAAGGGTGTCCGAGATCACTAACCAATATTTAATCAACTTTGCAGGAGAGAATATTATTCTCCGGACAAATCAAGGACATATGTATCAGACCACCAAGGGGAGAGACCGACACGTTCGTGCGTATATTGATATCAAAGACACACACGATCTCACGTACGTGTTACCTCTTCAGCGAACAATGGCGTAATTTTGAGAGCGAAAGTTTTCTCTTAGCAAATTCTTTTCTTTTAAAAATTCGACAATTTTACTATTTTTAATTAAAAATCATGGATTTAGATAATCTTCGAAATCGACAAAGAAATGGCTACGTGAGTAATGTTTTTTTTTATAATTATATGATTTACGTATGTACAAAATATTGATCATTTTTGCTTAAAAAAGAGTTTATTATTTATTTAGTGTAATATTCAGAAGAATATAAATAAATACATTTTATAATTTATAAGCATGTTATTTACTTTAACTAAAAAACTTTTCTTTTAATTTTCTTTTAAATATTTTTCAAAGTTATGTTCTTCTATATTGGTTCATTTATTTATCAACGGAAAGGCTGCAGTGCTTCCGGCATCGACACGACGTCTCGTTCATTATACACAGAATTTATTCAAAAGGATACGCCTATGTAGCGTTTTGTTGTGTGTGTTGCTCAGAGGATGTGCACGGTGGCAGCGTGCGACACACGTTCCGCGTGCCGGGAACAGGATTCCCCTGGGATAAGATTCAGGAAAGAGGGTGGAACACCGCGACTGCTCTCATCGTGGCACATTCTCTCTCTCGTGAGAACAAGTGCAAAACAAATGTCGCATAGGAGCCGGTCGACCGATGCGCACCGCCGTTCTATGTTCGTGAAAATTGTTTCTCTAGGTCGAAATAAATCATATTTTCCCTTGCCCCTCTATAGCCTCACTTACGAAAGAGAAGAAATGTGAGAAATTTCAATTCGTTTGGATGCTAGGATATCTTAGTCTGTGTGAAAAAAATATAAAATATGCAGTGTATCCCAAAATGATCACATTACCTTGTAATAATGTTATTATTTGATGAAGTTACATTTAATGAGTTTAAGGTTGATAAGATTATTTTTAATGAATTTGAATCTTTTCTTCGCGAATTGGATGGAAATAATAGTATTTTATACTATTATTCCGTAAACTTTTTAATATTTAGATATTCATGTAAATTTTATACTTTAATTAACAAAATTAAAATTTCTATCAAACTAAAGTTTATTAAGATTACTAAAGATATCGTAGAATATTTTTAAAATTTTTGAACCGTTATTTGATTTCCTAAAAAATCACATAGCATTAATTATAATATAACGATGTAAATAATTTCATCGTCAAATTAATTGAGACAAATGATGATTGTTAACCGACAGAACATGATAAATTTTGGCAAGAATTTATATATATACAACCTATGACTTGTTTCTTTTATGAATTTGACTTAAAAGTATTATTGTTTCTATCTTCTATAAATAAATAATTTTAATTTATTTTTTAATGTTACAGCCTGTATATTTTCTTATTTATTTCTTTTTCAGAAGTATTCACAACAGATCACAAATTTTCGAAGTCGAGAACCGTTTAACAAATAATAACAAAAAACTTGCAGTATAAAGGAAGGTAAAAAAAGCTACTTTTGCGAAATAAATTTGTAATGTAAAATCGTAAAGTATAAGCGACCTATTTTCCCGTATACCACCTGTTATTTATTAACGTTTACAGATATTTTTGAAAATTCTTTCAATCCTTAATTTTCATATAGATTAATGTAATCTACGTAATGAATTGATGGAATAAAAAATTTACAGTAACAAATCAGAAATACCATTTGAACATTAAAACAACCGATTCACAAAAATAGTTCTATACTTTATACATAAAAGAAATTCGGTTTTCCTCTTTCACAGTTTCACTAATAGTAATAATAAAGTTATAATTTTAGTAAACTTAGTTTTCTATCTCTCATACGACGGAAATGATAAAAAAATATCCATCAATCATTATACATTTGGTTTATAACATTAAGTTGATTTAAAATGCAGAGATTATTTAGCTTTCACCAAAATGATACCAGCTGTAATTTATAATGAAGAGTATTTAGTTAGAAGAAAATAACATTATTTTTTAAATAATTTGATTAAATGTGTTTAAAAGTCACTTTTTAAATACAGATTTAATAGTAATTAGCATATCTTTTTTCAATTACATCGGTCCTTAAGCATACTTTTTATGCTTGGTGTGAATAATATTATTTACATTTTTATTTTTATGTTGCTTTTAATATTTTCATCATTGCTCTGTACTTTTTTTATCTAAATAATACTGTCAATCTTAGAAAACGAGTCATAATCAATCGATAAAAATGAGATATACAGAACAACAAATTCTATTTGATGCAATGTTGCTGCTTAAAATAAATGAGAAAACAATATTACTTTATGATAATGCTTTATAGCAAATAATATATATATATATAGATATCGCTTCCTTATTTCAAAAGTGACACAATTTAAATCAAAACATATAATTTTCGAGTTGATACTATGAGTTAAATAAATATTATTCTATTATTCTACATCAATCATAAAAAATTAATCATCAAATAAAAAATCGTTAAAATTGCGTATTAAAACTCAAAAAGTAATTTTTTAAGAGTAGCAAACGAAAATGTAAAAAATAACAGTTGATTATATGTTAAGAATATATTCTTTTTGCCGATATTATTTGATTAGTCGATAATTTTCTGTTGAGTTAAATAGTTTTATTCCTTTTCTGAAAAAATTGATTTTTTGAGTTGTATCACTTTTGAAGTAGAAAGAGAGCGATATGTATATTAAATTTGTACTAAAAGATTAAGTCCGATACACATTTAATAAACCTGTTAAGAAACGATATTATGTTTTATTTCTTTTTTTATCCCTTGCTTCTTTTCCCCCCTTGCTCTTTGATATAATATTTAACAGTCAGAATGTGACCAGCAGAGGTGTTTTAGCGTCGACGCGCGACGCGAATAATCCGGCCCGTGTGATATCCTTCGCACGGCACGGCACGGCACGCAGGTGTAAACAGCTCCGAGGATCTTCGCCGCGGTACGGGACGCGACGCAGCCTCTTACAGACTCCTCGCGTCCACTGGAGCAGTCAGGACACAACGGCGTCCTTCGTCGCCGGCGTCTCTGCGCGGGATCGATCGTAAAGCTGAAGGTGGGGCGGCCGGAGGGGCGCGTCATCGAATGATAGCACTCATTCGGGCTGATGGCCGTTTGGGGAAGAGGGTTGTCTGGTCTGTAACCTGGGGGTGGCCCCGCGTAAACCTCGAGAGGGGTGGAAATCGGTATCGCCGACACGGGGCGGTGTTTCAACCCCCGTTCTCGTCACAGGGATGGGTCGGCTGCCGGCGAATCAGCTTTCACATGGCGAACCCCCTACGAAACGCAACCCCTGCGAGTCAACCATGGCCACACCCACGCTCCTACCCGCGGCACCGGCGGTTATTGAATTAAGCTTATCATTTGATTTTGAGGAGACCCACCAGTCGGTCGTACGGGGCGCTCTTAAGCGGGCCGGAAAACTTCTTCCTATCCGCGGTGTAATCGCAATAATTTGATATCGCTGATCCGATTACGTATCATAAGCCGCTATCGAGGAACCCAACCAGCGGCCCGGCACGGTTCCCGGTCTCGCTGAAACGTCGCCGACGAGAGAGCGGCGTGCCGCTCCTACCGCTCGCGTCTATCCGGGTCTTACCCGCGGACGAACGGGCCCAAGAGCGCGGGTACAAACGGGCCCGGATAAGTCGCGCTGCTTACGTGACCTTCTAAATTTCACATTGCATTCGCCATCACAGTCATACGTTTTCGCGCAACCAGTGTCTTTTTTTTTTTTTTTCATAAAGTTTAGAAGAGACGCGTTATTATATACCTATCTCAAAATATTAATGTGTTAGACATCGTGACTTTTAACGGCCTAACCGTTGATTTTTTTTCGAGTGCATTCATTCGAGACTATCACGCGTATCCCTCATTATTACTGAAGTGTAAAGAAACGACTCTTGAAGTACTAAGTGCCAGCAGGAGTAACGCAAAGTGGATTTACTTGCAGCCAGGCCACGACATTATGGACTACTCGTATCTGAATCAGGCCGCGGCCGCGGCAGCGGCCGGCTTCGAAGCCTCCAGCTGCGCTTTGGCCGCCGGCGAGATGCAGTGTAGTTACGGAGATCTGAGCTCGTGCTCGCAGATGAGTCAAGCGGCCTATCGTTACACCGCGGCACGAGCTGCCGGATATCCCGGTAATGCGGCCGCTGCCGCCGGTGCTGCGGCCGGTGGCACGCCACTCACGGCCCATCACACTGCGCACCCCCATGCCCACGCGCACCATGGGGCCCACTCGACCCCCTGCTCCGTAATGGCTGCCAGGTCCCAGGAAGTCCATCGGCACGCCGCCTCCATTTTCCCATCGGCTATCAATCTTCAGAGTGAGTGATGTTTGAACGTATTTTTCAAGTACTCAATCAGCTATTGATTATAACGTATACTTTCGGATAATTTCCGAATTATTATAAAGTAATTGTCAACTTTGCAGTTGTAACGATGGAATCAAAATCTTTAATCCAAATGTTTTATCAAGTGTTAGAAAGAATTTGATATCTGACTACTCTTATTTTTTAGACAATTGAGTTTATTTACAACCAATTGTATCAGATTTTATAAAAAGAGATTCTCTGAAAACGATTTTCAAAGTTAAATTTTATGATTTTTTTTTTAAGGTATTGAACATAAATTTAAGATTTTAGGTAACAATTTTTTTTATATTTTTATATTTATATATATGTACATATATACATATATATAAATATATATATATATATGAATATTTAGAATGTATTTTCAAAGTTACAAATTACTATGTTCATTTTGTTTTAAAATAATTGTAGTCAACAGTTGAAGGATTCTATTTTTCATTCAAAACAACAAATATTAATAACATTTTTAATTTGGAATATCGTTTATTATTAGAATTAAGTTAAAATCTTCTTTTAGTAAGAAAGAGATTAAAATTTTTTTTTAATTAGATGCTTATTATGTCACCACTTTGTTAAATCTTAATATAATTTTCTTATTCTAGTACGCAACGTAACCATATTTATATAGATAAAAAATTTTATCAGTTTTTATTTCGGATAGCTAAAATTCAATTATGTCTAACATCATTTTAGTACATATGCATAGATTTATAACTTTTAAAGTGTTGAACTTAGAGACTTTCAAAAATTTATACATATAATTTAAACGTGAATAATATTATATATATTAAAAATTTTAAGTTTCTATATTCACACACACACACACAATAGCTTTTCTTAAAAAAAAATCAACTTAAAAATTATTTTTTAAGCCAAAATCTCTTCTTTTAATAATACATTCTTAAAGAAATTTAGTGTCGACTCTTTTTTATGATGAAATATCAATAGTTTTTGGAATAATGAATAACAGTAAGTGAAAGATTTTTCTTGTATTAAAATTTGGTTACGTATAAATAAATGTTCCAACTTTATTCTTTATTTAATTTTAGAAAGTTTTATATTCAAGTACTTGATTCAATTATTTAATTAAATGAAACTTTTTATTTTTTTTTATTAAAAATGGAAATATTGAAACATACACACACAAGTTTGTAGTATTTACAATTTTTTTTTATAAAAATTGATTTTATAAATTTAAGCAGTTTATTTATTAATAAAACAATGCATAAAATGGATTTGTGTAATCATTCATGAAAAATTATATATATCTAAAAACTGTATCTAAAAACAATGTATCTCACGATACATATAACACATGATGTGTTCTGTAAAAACTTACAATTTAATTAAAGAAAGTATTATAAAGTATTATGAAATATCATGAAATTATCAGAAAATTTGTTACAATTATATCATATATAATTATCTAGTTGTTTAATAATTATTTAAAGCATGTTATTAAATACAAACATAATTTATATATTATTTTTTATTTATATTGGAATATTATCTGAAACTTAAAGTGTCTGTGCGTTATATTAAATAAATCAAGTAAATAACTTAATAAATAATATCATATGTTAACTTGATATTGTATTATAATTGACCATAATAAATAATTCATAATTTCAAACTGTAGCATGGCTTAACAAGGGCTCCTTTATCCTTGCGTCAATCCGTCAGTCTATGAACGTGCGACGCTTTGTTATGTTTGTTCCGGCGATTTAGAAGGGGCTAAACATGTCACACAGGAGCAAAGAGCTAATCTCCCTTCGTCCTAGTTGATAATTGATCTCGATTGAATTCAACATCACACATGTTATTTCGACATAATGCGCACAAGAATGTCACGCGGATATATTATGCAACGTATCTGTCATGCTTCAATTAATTTTTTATGAATTCACTGAAGGAGCTAGAAATATAAATAGCTACCAAAGCGAAACTATCGTAAGGATATCAGATATATGTGATATCAATAAGATAAAAGATTTCCACGAATATATGTCTTTACGTAATTATTCAAGGATTTTAGAAAATTAAATTGTTCGTTTTTAAAAGCGTAAAATTTTAATTGTTTTTATATTGATTTTACACATAACAATAAAGACAAAAAATATAAAACATATAAAACATAAAAGTATTTTTTTTTTTCTTTGGAAACAAAGATATATGGGATGTAATAAATTATTGCAGGAAATGAATTCTGTCTTGTTATATTTTGTTATCAAAATTTTGTATCTGTATTAAACAAACAACTAAATGGGCAATACATATTTCTATCATAAATGTACATTTACTGTTATTGCAATAAGTACTAATATCTTTAGTCTTTTATTACATTTTTATTTTTTAATACATATAAAGATTTCTGATATAAAGGAAGTTTATACATAATTAAATATAAAATATACATATATATATTATATAATTATACAATAAAACTCATATGTTTTCTTCTCTGTTCTTATATGTCACAAAAATAAAGAAGATTAATTGAAAAGTTAGTCTTTTAATTATAACAATAAAAAACTTACCTTGTTTTTCTTTATAAAAAATAAAATTGCTATTATATATACAACATTTTTTATACAATTAAATCTAATTTTATTATACATTATTATTGGAGGTGGCAAGTAACATGTTACTTGTAACGCCGTTACCGTTACTTTTTTAAAATAGTGATTTGGTAATAATGTTATAATTTTTTATGATGAATAGCGATAACGCTAGAATTAGAACAGTCACTTAATTCTGAAAGTGTATAACTCGTTACTATTACCCATTTTTCATTGAAAAAAATAAAGATTTAATAATGCTACAATTTTCATGACGGTAATGCCAAGGCTCTAGAATAGTTACTCTTTCAATAAGAATTAAACGTATGAGAAACGCATAATGGTAATGAAATACTTTCGAAAGTTAGTGTTCTAATTCTGGCATTATCGTTATCATGAAAAATTGTAACGTCGATTACGAAATCTTTATCATAAAAAAGTAATGTAACGAGATAACGGCATTATACAAGTATCCATTACTTACCACGATTATTATTTGTGACTATATATTTTTTCTCATTTTCTCAAATTTTACTTTATATAAAAATCAATACGGAAATTAGTCTTCTAATTATTTTTTAGTGTTTTATTATTATTTATTCTGTACATGAACAGATGTCATACAAAGAAAAAAAATTATATATGGCAATATTTTATATATAATTATACATATAAATAAGATAAAAAATCTATTTAAATATAAATATGTAAATACATGTATACGTATTTAATTATATAGACATTTTTTATATAAAATACATCTGTTTGTTCTTTGTTATTTATGAAAATAAAGAGAAAATAAAGACTCTTGTTTTCTTTGATACGTTTTGAAATGTCATATCTTAATTGTAATTGTATGTTACTATTATGACATTATTATCGTTATTATTATTGTCGTTGCATAACAAATAAAAAAATCAAATTTCAAAAATTACCTTTTATCTCTATACATTTCGATCATTTTTATCTTTATTTTTACATTTCTAATTTCAGGCGGTTTGGGATATAAAGCTTACTCAGGGCACGATGGCCTCGCGGAGAAGAGAAAACAACGTCGGATACGAACGACATTTACGTCGGCTCAACTGAAAGAATTGGAACGTGCATTCCAGGAGACACATTATCCAGACATTTACACTAGAGAAGAGATTGCTATGAAGATCGACCTGACGGAAGCTAGAGTGCAGGTTAGTCTGTTTTTTCTTCATTTTGTAATTATTCCTTTTTCTAAAATTTCACGTTAAATTAACAATTTCTATGCAATGTAAAATTTAAATTTAATTTATCCTAAATGATCGAAATTATACCTACATATCGATATATACAAGATTGATTTACTTTGTGAAAGTAACTCGCTATAATTAGTTTCTTTCAAAAAGAGTAAAAGTGCACAAAAAGAATAGTTACCATTATAATAAGTTATCGATTCTCTGAAACACATGTTACAGTCTCAATTACTTAAAAAATAACTAGTCGTTAATTTTTTGCATTGTTACTTTAAATACAAGAATGTAATACATCTTCAACATTATTTTATAGCATTAAATTATTTTTTATTATACAAAATACTCAATTATACGCTATATTACTTATAATAAATTAATATATACATTCACTTAGAATAAAAATTATGAGATCAGTATTAAGATCCGTTTACATACAAAAAATCCTAACTAGTTTAATTCTTAATTCTTAATATGGAGCAATGAAAGCGTAGTGTATATTTTTTCAGTTTTTTTTCAATCTATTGACTTAAGGTCATTGATTCAGTCTACTAAAGCAATATGTTGAAAAAAACCTTCTGTTTCTCGAAATTATAATTAAGTGACTTAAACCACTATAGCTTTCATCTCTCTCCATATATGTAGACATTTACAGTGTAATATAATTATCAGGGATAAAATATATCTAATCACAAGAAATCTGATAAATACTTTATTTTAGTCAGTTCATGGCTATGTTTGGACGCTCACACATATGTTGATCACGCACATGTTGACGAATAAATTTTATATGAAGTAATAATTTTAAAAGTAACTATTAAATTTTACTGGAAAAAAAACTGTAACTAAGTTAAATTACAGTTACCGAAAAAAGTTATGAAAAAAGTAACTCTAATTGTATAACAACTTTGTTACGAGTAACTTTCCAATTTTTATATTATATACAATTAAATATGATAATTTCTTATAAAAGCGAATAGCTTTATATAGAACATTTAAAAACTAAGCCCTTTTGTTTTATAACTCTTAACAATAATGTTGATATTATAATATTGTCATCTAATATTATATTGTTGTTTTATACTTGATTAAAAAAGGTATGATAAAAATGACGATATAACAATACTGATATTGTCATTAAAAGTTATAGAATAAGAACTCTGATCACATTTACGTAACGTAAAGAATACAATAAGCAGAATAATTTTTTATTGTTATTAGAAAAGAACATTCTGTTTTGGATTATACAATAAAATTTTGCATTATACATATCGCGTAGTTTGCTTCATCTGCGCAAAGAGAGGGTTGTTGACTGAAAGTTGAGGGTGAGTTCGCAGAAGGAGTGTAGTACGTAATTACATTACAGACTCCATTTTCGTTTTCATGGCTATACCTGCAGGTCGCGAGCTGATGGATTATACTGTCTAATACGCGTGACGGATTATCATGAACAAAAGATAAACGACGAAAGAATTGTACAAACATTATTGCAAAATTACTTCTCATACGTATGAAATTATGCTTAAATAATATTTTCTTTTTTACTGTTGAAACGAGCAAAAGTGTAACGACGACTGGCAATCCTTTTTGTGAAAAAATTTCTCTTGTTATATCTTATTTATGCGATAATTCTGGGAAATTTAATCTTAATATAATTCGGGACTGCACGAGATGTATGATAACAGTTCTCAATTTATAGCAATTGGAGGTAAACATGTTAAATATTCTTAAATGTGACAACTGAATCCAGGAAAATTGTTCTCGTTTTGTGCGATTTGATTTACACCAATTTTCAGATCATTATACGTGCATAAATCAAAATGTATTTTTATGATATGAATGTTTTCAAACTAAAACAATCCTTACAAACACTAATCTCTTTAAAAAATTTTAAGTACTTATTCTTAAAAATTGACTTAAGAAACTCATACGATTATTCAATTTCCAACATTGATAATAAATATTGAATATGCTTGTTCAATTCTTATCGCATTACATTGATTCCAATGTTCATTCTAAATAAAACTCAAAATCAGACAATTATATTTCATACTAAATAAAAATTTGGATCTAAATTATTCGGTCTGAATAAATCCAAATTAAATTATCGTTTGCACAAAATTAACGAAGGAATTTTATTATTTATTTACATTACACGAACTTCCTTGCGCATTTTTCGTAACTTGAAGATTCTCAACCGGAAGAGAACAGTTGCCATTTCCGTTTTTCATCGGATACTGTATATAGCAAAATCGGTTGCGTTTTATAAGAGATCAATTTACACGATCTCTTGGAAACATCTTCATATTAAAATCGGGAGCTACCTGTCACAGCTCGCTGAATTCCCTCTACTTGTACACATCCATGACGTTACCTGCTCCGCTAGGACTCAAGTGTCGCGAGAAGGACAGGTGAGGTACATGTACGGTAACGTGATTAGACAGCTCTCCAGACGCTAACGGAACCTAAAGTTAGACTTCTCGACTGACGTGCATCACTTAGCGCCGCCGAAGTACCTCTTCGCCGAATTTCATTCAGATTATCTAGCGCGGGCGAGGAGTGTGGACGATTTCATTGGTTTCCAGCTTGGAGAAGGGAGCAATAAATTTAATCTTATCTCGGAAAGACGTAGGCGCGGATTAATATAACGTTTGCCATCGACGATCGCGATATTATTACACGGCGAGATTAGGGATGGCGATTCGACGACTGTGAAACTAAATCACTCGCTATTTACGGCGACAACTTGATATTCCAACGCGTATAATCCACTTTTGCACGATGAGTGCGATTATCTTGGCGACGGCAAGTTACTTAAGCTGCCATTAACCCCTTGACCCTACAGCCCTAATCACTGCAGCTGTGTTGATCAAAATACGAAATCTAGGTATAGCTTTGATTGTATTTATACTATATATTATAATCGAACTTAATGTTTTTTTTTTATATGAAATACCTCATATTTATTAATTTTTTAAATATTAGTATTTATTAATATATTAATAATATCAAAATTGTATTTACATACATCAAATATGTATGATCTCTAGATTAATAAATATGTTATTTGAATATTATTATATATATCTAACAGAATTTGATATATCTATATTTCGGTTCAATCTTTTGTATTTTCTTGTATTTTTGCAATTTTCAGTTTATCTATTTTTAGTCTTGGTATTTTAAGAAATGCCAAAAAGATGCCAAGATACACATATAGAGTTTTATTACCCAAGGTTAAGGCAAGCAAAATTATATATGCATGATCATGTCTCAATTTTTAATATTCCTTTTGCAATTTTTTATTTACATTGTACATATTGTAATTTGTATCATTACGAAGATATTAGGAGAAAAATGTGGAAGAATGCATTTGAAAAAATAAAAAAATGTTTTTAAAATTATTTTACCAATATTGAAGTTTATTAAATTAGTGTCCAAGAAAAATCGCGGGTCGAAAATCGTGTGGTCTTCGAACTTTCTAAGTGGAAATAAAGCTATTCAATCTATCTTGAGAAGAGAGTGAGAGGAGGAACCATTTCTGGGACGTCGATATCCGACATAAAACTACGTACTTTATTTTTACGAGATTCTTTTTCTATTCATATGAAGATTCACATGCACTTTCTCAATATTTTTAAATATCTATCATCTTTATTTTTTACTTTTTCTTTTGTAATTTGTTATTCTTTTTTTTTCTCATTCGCTTTCCTATTCCCTCAAATCCTATTTTTATATGTTATTTTTTTAATATCACATACTTTTTTCTGTTTTTCACACAAGGCATTAGGAATTTTTTTTTTTAATTTGATTTAAACCATCTTTGGGTAATTTAACCACGATAATAACGATTAAAATTAGTTAAAAAGGTGTTCTTTTAAAACAAATATTAGTAATCTCTAAATGATAATTGTATACCTGCGTTGTACATCATCGTACATGTTCGCGTATCATGAACGAGGACCGCGCAATAATGAAGCACGAGATAACTATTAATACTCTAGTAGTTTGCGGGTTCGCGGCGCGACCGCCATCTCTGGTGAGGTTTATCCTCCCACGGTGGGGTAAGTCCTTTGTCTGCTCGACTTTGCCCTCCTCCATTCTGACAGAACGTACGGTCCCTCAAGAGTTTCCTCGTCCCTTCATTCGTGATTCGTTCGTTCGCTACTGCGAGTTATCCTACCCCCGCTGTCTTCCAACCCTCCGATTCAACCCCTGCGCCCCTGCCTCCATCCCTCTCAGCCCTCCATCTCGTCGATGGCGGCTGCTCGATAAAATTTCCTCCCTCTCGTATCGTGAGAGTCATTGGCTTCCTCCGTCCACCCCCTTTTGCACATCCTGCTTCCAGGATACTTCCTAATCGGCTGCCATTACTACCCCTATTTTCTCTCTCTATCTATAGTTTCACTTAGTGCAAAGTATAAATTAAGTTACGCAGGAATGTTTCCGTTAACTCTTTTCCTTGAACATTATCTACCATTATTTCTCCTTCTTCATATCTCATTTAAGATACTTCCTAATCAGCTGCTATTATTATCTTTATCTTACCTTTCTACTTTTATTTAGCGCGAAATATAAATTGTGTGGATATGTGTTCGACAGAGCTTTATCCTGAAGAATTATCTACCTCTTTATTTCTTCTCTTTCATACCTCATTCATAATGTAATCTAATTAGCTGCTATTATTACCTTTATGTTCTTTTACTATTTAAAGTTTTACTTTTAGCTTGAATTATAAAGTAACGTTTCTGAGATGACTCAACAAAACTCTAACAATAATATACATCATTTTGAACATTTATTGATCTCGTGGAAAGCATAAAAACTTTATTTTTTGTTTTTAGTTGTTGAGAACGTTTTTTTTTTTCCGAGATCTCGAAAAGTTCTAGATTATTCTGGATTTATAAATATGTATGTAAAAAAAAATACTTTATAAATATATAAAAACGATCGAGTTATATGCTTAAATCTAACTCCTGTTTTTGAGCATTGAAAATTAGTTTGCATATTTTATTTGCATTTTTTATTTAGAATGTATAATAATATCATTGTTGTTACTATTTATTTTTGTGACGATCATTACATAAGTCATAAAATTATTATTAATAACATTATTATTAACAAAAGAGATAAAATAAAATATAAATATTTAATAGACGTGCTATTAAATATTAATTAAATACTTACTGTTTTTACACAACATGATGATTATTAAAATAATTTGTTCTCAAATTCGCGAATTTGTCAATATACTATTAACTACATATGTATATCTATTGCTCTTTATTTTTTATTTTATGTTAATTATATAAAAAGAACAAAATATCGTTATACATTATAAATTAATATATTATAATTATTTAATCTATTTTTATCTAAAAAGCTTCAATCAATTTCAATAATGAGCCAGCAATGAGAGAGAGAGAGATAGAGAAAATCTAAATTTGCGAAGTATCTACTTTATAATACAACACGTTCTTAGTATCTACTAAGTTTAGCAATGCTCATTATTCTTTTCTTATCTCTTTAAGCAAACTATGTAAAACTTACATTAAATTTGTCATTTATGGAATAACGCAAAATAAATGTAAGTGCCGCTACATACGATAATCGATCGAGCATGATTTTGGCGTAAAATACGACAATATAGCATTTTAAGAAGAGGTAAAACGTGCTGGATCGTATTACCTTGCAACAACAGAGGCCGGTTCTAACGGATATCGGAATTCTAGTTGGCAGCGTTAGGTAGGGGCGCATAACTAAGTCAGCGTGCTATTGATAGTCGAGATTCTCTCGACGCGCGTGTGTTACACCGCGTAGAAATATCCCGTCTCTCGTCGTTGGAGCGGCTGACATCGATAAAAATACCCGAAAGATGATTGAATTTGTAACACTATCCGCTGCATTATGCAGCGACTATAACTTGATCGTCGCGCGCAAGATCGGCTGCTCGTTCGCAGTACCGAAAACGGAGAAAAGAATATTATCTCTACAGAAATGACGCTTTTGACGGATGTGACGAGTAGAATATTGAGAAGAATATTGAAACATGATTGCGATGTCGATATCGATATCACAAACACGAATTTTGAAATCTTTATGAAAAATGATTAATCACTGTCATCGTAATATATATAACACGAAATGAAGCTTAAAAACCTGTAATAGTTTTTACATAGACCATGAAATAGTATTGGAACAAATAAGAAATAAAGAATTTGTTTTACTTTATTTAAGAGTATAATAAGATGAATAAGAACTAGATAAGAGAATTATTACCAATAACAACCCTTGCCCTTTATCCATATTTTGAGGGATTCGCTCGGATTAGCACTAATATTTTATTGATGGTATTAATGTCCTGTATGCAATATTAATCAAATCACCTTTGCACATGAACCATACATGCAATACTGTACTAAACATGATACCTTTCGTCGAGATTATTATTCGCAGTGTCGAAAACAATTTTTGAACGAAGACGCGTTAAAAAAAAACGTGTTACTCGTTTTGACACTCGTTGATAACAGTTTTGCTCGTTCCAGTTGGAAGCGCATATTGAAGCGAATTTGACAGAAACGATCGCGATATTTGAAACCACTTCACTAGAGAAACTTGTGATGAGACAATAGGTATTCCGTGATGGATTCAATTCTTTCGATCACTGTTCAAATTTCAAACAGTATATAACAATAATTACGTCACACTCATTCTTTAGAATAGACTGTAATTTTTCATTCAATCCTTTTATCGTTATTTCATAATCACATTAAATTTGCGCAGATTCATTCTTCTGTTCACGAAGAATACAAGAATAGAAACTCTAATAATATTTTTTCTGATCTTAGATTTTTAATAGAGTATAAAAAAGAAAAGAGAGAGAGAGAGAGAGAGATTAAATTATTTTATAATATATATATTATATATTTTTCAAAATATTACTAAATTATAATCACATTAAGCATAATGTGAAAAGATGAATACCCCTTCACATATATAATTTTTTTTATTCCTCAGAATCATATCTTTTTCGTTTTATGGAGTCATATGCATTAATTTTGACAACGTCTGCTTAATTTTATTCATAATAAAATATGCATTTGCTTCTTAAAGAAAATATTCGTCTCGTTCAAATGATCACTTCTCACATTTTATTCTGATCGCGTGATATACAAGGTTTCTCAAGACCAGTGATCTTCTTATCTCGCATCTATATCTTCGAAGAAGCAATCGTGAGTCATTCGGCGATTGAATTATATACCTGTGGGTCCTGCTCCACGTTTCTATCTTCCACGCCGCTTATCGCCAATGAACGTGGCGCAAGATTAATCAGCGCTGACCCATATCTCCTCCCGATTGGACCGATGCCACACAATACAAACTGCACATGAAGGGACGACGATTTCTGATTAGTAGGAAACTTGTCCTTGTCGATTTAAGGCTCGATAATACAGCAAATGCAATCGTATAATTGCAAATGATTCTATATAATATAGAGACGCGGATATCTCTTAAAAACATATAATAAGATACTAATAATAAATATAAAATTAAAAGTGTGTGATTCTTATGTGCAAGAAAAAAAGTATTAAGTTCTATATTCAAAATGTAATTATTTTATATATAGAAAAATAATGTAGAAGAGGACACATTTTAGTCTTGAAAATATCTTTTATTTAATTTATTCTGAACATTTTGCATATATCATCATATTACAATTGCGATGAGCTTGATGTGAATGATACTTAATGTATCTTATGATACTTTTATCGTTGCACTGCATGTCTCATTGACTACTCTGGCCGTCGCGTGGCGGCACGTTTCGCTACTCTGAGTCACATGTCATCCAGGATGAATTACAATTCCATTAACGTAGTAGAGTAGCGGAGCTGTGCATAATACGTACCAAAGCTGATCTCTCTTGCATTCTCTCTCTTTCCCTCCCTCCCTCTCTCTAAATTGGGATGTCAAGTGCGCAGATGTAAAATTACGAAGGGAGCGAGGCGGCAATAGCGTTCCGATATGGGACAGGCGATTGAAGTTGTGTTTTTCGCCACTAACGAGATTAATATTCAGCGAGCATGTATCGATGCGCGAAATGGGCGAAAAACATGGTTTTCAAAAAGTTCGACTGCGGTGTTTCGTACTGGGTGAATGACATTTGTCGATAACGTTAATTAACTGGCATCCGTGAAAAAGTAGTTAAAATTCTATTAAAGAAAAGTTCTCTAGAAATTAAAATCAAAAGAGTAAAGTAAAAGGATATTTTTGATATTTCAAAAAAGAGATTCTTTTATAAAGATATATTAATATTATTTTATACGTGAGATAAACATACGTGGTAGAATGCTTTTACACAAGTAGTGTTTTATGAATAATAGTTAATTATTGAAAAAGTAATATAATTATATATTATATTATTTTGTACATTCGAAAAATACGCATAAAAAATAATATTAACATATTAATAGTATAAAATTCTGTTACAGATGCAAATAGTTTTACTGAATATAACTCATGATGTTACTAAATTTTTAATCAATCAATAATTCATTTTCTTATAGTATCATATATATTAATGCTACATATAAAGTAATTAATTGTAACAAGATTATTAATTGCGTAGGATGATATATTGTACAAATAGAATGTGAGATTATTTAACATTGTGAATTACAGGTTAAATTAAAATCTTATTATTAGAGAAAAAGGATAAATGCTTTATTTTCTATAACCAATTCTTTAAAGAAATTTAATATTTAGAATTAAAGATAATAATTAAAAAGGAAACAGAATTTTTTAAAGATGATATTAAAATATAATTATATATATTAATTGTAAGTAAAGACTAAAGAATATAAGATTTAAAACAAATATAATACAATATTTAACATAGATAAAAATCGAACACACTAGTTTTAATAAAAATATACTCAAGCTAATAGAATAGTATTACAAAGACTAGAATCAATATGTATCTAAACTATAAAAATCAAGATATAACAATCTTATCATCGTTTAATTGATTGATATTTGAACTTTGACGTGTTCATCTAAAGTGAGCGTTCAAGAGATGAAGTTAAAGTCGGACAGGGGGCAATCTCGAAGCCTCGGGAGTTATACGACCGATGCGCAGTCGAAAAATCAACGTAAATTTTCTTCCATCTCTCAGTGGAATACGCCGCTGTCAAGTAAAACAAGACGTCCCCCCTGTGTCTTGCGGGAATGAAGGACAGAGACAAGCAGCACATCTACGATTAAGGGTTTGTTCTTGGAAGGGACGAGAAAGTCCGGGAATCTGGCGTAAAAGTTAAAGAGAAAGGAAACAGGAAAAGGGGAGAAATCGAATGATAGAAAGAGAACAATGTAAGGAGAGGAGAAACGAATGCTAGGAACAAGAAAGAATCCTAAAAAGGATAGAAAGAGATGTGAAATCTAAGGGATACTGGTAAAAACGAGACAGGAAAGAAGTCACGACTTTAAGAGAGATGGGAAAAGAAAAGGAGAAGGGAGAGATACACTCTGAGACCTTAAGATAGTCAAGAATAAAGAGGGAGAGAGATATAAAAGAAATATGAATACTTAGAATGAGAAGAGACTGTTAGAAAAAGAAGAATGCGATGTCTAAGAGATAGTAACAGAGGGAGAGAAGGAGAGAATGAGATGGAAAAGATGAACAAAGGGGAAGGTGTAGGGCTGGGAACGAGAGACGATTCCGGGAGTCGAGGGGTTGCTGCAGTTGGTGGCACGGAGGGATGTGTGTGTGTGTCTGTGTGAAATGGGGAAAACATTCGCCCGGGTTCTGGTGGCTAGTGTCGGGGCTGGGCTGATACACAAGGGGCCCATGCCAGAGTGTGCGCTGGTAATTGCAAGCTCTATGTAGATCCACTTACAGTGATTAAAAACTGTCCTGCTGGGTATCATCCGTGGCGGAACGACGCATCAAGGATGTCGGCAAGGGAAAAGGAAGAAGAGCAACGACCAGGATGCGCACCGCCAAGAATAATTCCGTCACGTCTCGCAGTCACGTCAGTTTGCGCGCGTTTAGAGATAACAATCTTATGCCGTTCCACAATTCGGCTGTTACAGTAGCAAAGCTGGCGGGTATAATTTTTTCATGACATTTTACGAACTAAGTATACGACATTTAACATATTTATACACTTGTAATCTAAAACTGTAGCATTATTTTAGTTAGAAATGTTTAGAAATAATTGTTACACTGTTCTTGAGAGGAACAAAAGGGAGCTTATAGATTTGGTTCTTCTTCTACTGATACTATCTTAAATATTTTGTAGGCAATTTAGTTCTATTTTTATTAATGACTTTTATTAAAATGTCGCGGTAGTAATATTTTTGTGTATAAATGAACAAATTTTGCTAATTATTTAACGTTACATGCTCAGTTACATGTTAAAATATACAATCAATGTGTGTATTCTAAAAGAAAATGCAAAGAGAAAGAGAGAGAATGACGAAGGAAAGGAGAGAGGAAGGAAAAGAAGAAAGAGAGAGGGAAGAAATAGGAAATAGAAAAAGAGTAAGTGCAAAGTTAATCAGATTTATATAATACGTATAATGGTTTTTCTTGTATTCTATCTTACTATAAATATATTGTATACGAACTGCAGCGATCCAGACTTTCAATTAAGGAAATAAGTTTAGGGTGAAGTCGCATCAGCCTGCCATCTCAGTCTTAATTACGGTCTGCTTCGTGTAGCGTGGAGACATTCAATTTTATTGGTACGATCGTCGGAATGACTCCATTACAAATTAACTAGACACACAAAACTTAATGAGAGAGAGCGAGAGAGAGAGAGAGAGAGAGAAGAGATTTAATATTTTTTTAAATTGATATTTTGTCTTAATCATAAAACAAAATCATTCTGTTTTACTATATTTAATATCGAATATGAAATTAAAATTTTATTAGAGAATTTATATTTATATTGTAGATTATAGTGTGCAGAATTATATGCATTCTACTTCTTTTGCATATATTTTCAAATTTTATCGGCGAAACTAATCACATCGCGAAATATATCTGTCGATATCAAATTAGATCGGCCGGGGGTCAGAAAGCAACCGAGCGAAATCCGCGGTTAACTGGTTCGAGAAGGGAAAATCACGACGAAGCCTAACATAGGGTGAATCAAACGGATAAGCGTAGCGCAAATTGCACCATCGTGTGGTGCTTCTATAGAATTCTTAATGCCTCGATATTTACTTTAATCATTGACATGAACACAGGATCGAATATAGTCTTTGATCAAACAATGTCTAACATATAAAAATAGTTACCGTTATGAGAGTACTTGGCTCTAATTGTCTAATTAAATTAACGACTGTTGTAATGAATGCAAAATGTCTCTGATAGAAAGAATTCTGACAATTTTATAAAATTTTTAAGAATTCTTATATACTAAATTTATTACCTATGTTTCTAAAAAAAATATACTTAAACTTCTCCAAGCTTATAAGTTTGCTTCAAAAGTAACAAAATGAGAAATTTTAAAGTATTCCATAATTCATATATAATAAAGATTTCTAGAAGAGATGTAGACTTTCTCAGTACTTACAAAAGGTGTTCCAGTTCGTATAAAAAAGTCTGAGAAATTTTTTTAAAAGTTATAAATTATATATAAAAGTTATATGAAGAATTCTGAAATTTACATAAAAATTCTGTAAAAAGTTTGAAAAAATTTTTTAACATTCAACTATTAATAAATTTATTAACGCGAAATGTATTTTACTGGATCCATACATACATTCACGATTATTATTTAAATATACTAGTGGTTTCTATGCATTAAATAAACGTATACAGCTAATTTGAAAAATCGATTTTTCTTTAATGAAAAATTTGTAAAAGTTATCTTTTATTATACGTATAGTATGTTAAATTTTTAATTGCATTATAATTAGATTTTAATTGTAATATAATTAAATTTTTATTAATACTATTGCAAATGGAAAATTTTTGTTTAAAAAAATGTAGATGTATAAAATAGAATTAAGATGTTATTTTTTTAATATTATAATCCTAAGGAAATACAATAAAAAAATTTTGACAAAAATTTTATGAGAACCACATCATATGAATTGAATATTTAATCACGAAATAAAAAAGCATCGTCATTTGTAAAATTGATTATTGATGCATCCGGGGAGACGCTAATTAACGTTATTTGTGTCATTCTATTCTTATTTTACATCTAACAAACAACGAAGATAGAAATGACAGAAATAGCTTTAATAGCGTCTCCCTTAACGCACCTTAAGCAGTAATCATCGCAAAGCAGTTACCGATTGCTTTGCTCTAACTGGTTGAAAAGTAATCCTCAACCGTCAATCGTTCAATCAAAAATTTCCATTTTTTTCCTTAACATTCGAGGATAAACCAAATAAATTGATCCGAAAATTAACAAGATACATAAAAATATATAAGAATGATAAAATAACCAAATGTAAAAGATAAAATAATAAGACAAACTAAAGAGATGAATCCACATGCACACGCGAACGCGTATCGAAGCGTATGATCGGAAGAGAGCGGAGGGTAGAATTCCCGTACAGCTCCCGTCTAAAGAGATGATTAAATATTTATCCAGAAGGTGCTGGACATCTGTCGATATGCCTTGTTGCACTTTATTTTGGCGCGGTGTATTTGTTTAACATTAACGCTATACGCGCGTGCGCGCGCGAGCACGCAAACGCCGCTCTCTCACCCTAATTCGCCTCGTCGTTGTCGTCATCGTCACTTCGACAAACAACGGCACACATGCTACGGTCTGCTCGAGGTTTGGTCCGTGGCCAAATACGAATTATTAGCATTGTCTTTGGCACATGCCGGGGACAGTACATTCATGACCTAGTCGATAAGTCGCGAGACAATTAAAAAAAAGTAAACAGAATTGATTTTATGCTCAACTTTATGTAGAAGAAGTATAAGAATTCAACCAAATACATTTTTTTGCAATTTCGCAGCTATTTTTTTAATTTAGGATAAAATCTAAGAGTGCTGAGAAATTAAGCATATTGTCATTAAGTACACAATCGTCATAAAATACCGATAATTCTATCTTTTATCGAATTAATTAATTAAATTCTACCTTCTAACATGAAACTTTCTAGCGACTGTGTTGTTACTTTCTAAACACAGATTCTCTTTCTTTTCCTCAAAAGGCTTATATAATAAGAATAAATTGAAAGGTCTGGCCCTTCTTCCCCTTGATTTTATATCTCGCTTCTGTTTTTCTACCGTTTTTCAATCAACGATAGATCACGAAGAAACGCGATGCCAGGTGTAATCAATTTCGGATTAATTAGCACACGAGGGGATTCACGGTGTTCGTCGCGTAGTTACGATTCGAATTTCGCGAAAAATCGCCACGCCGGTTGCGCAACCGACGCGCGACAACCGGTAGCAGCAGCAGTAGCAGCAGCAGCTGATAAAAATCCAATAGCCCCAGTGTTTGCCAGCCAGAAAGGGCAATCACGTTCATCATGGTGTCCTGCGTTCCCGCCGTCGCCTCCCGCCTCCACCACCGCCGCCGCTGCCGCCGCCGTCGCCGCGGTGCCACCCTCCGCCGCCCATCTCGCGTCCCTTCTAACCCCCGTACAGTCTCCCCTGGCTCCGACAGCTCGAGCAGTTACGTCCTACGAGCCCTGAACGTAGCCGCCCCTGGAAAATCCAGGGGTGGGATTCACGTGCGCACACGTTGAGGAACGAACGGTTTAGGGAGTGACGAGGAGGGACGGAGATTGAAGGGGAGTTTGCAGCACCGTAAGGGAGTCAGGGATGCAGTGGGGACAGAGCGGCGTGATAGGGGGTTGAAGGGGAAAAGGGTGGATGAGCGGCAGCACCACCGGTCAGATAAACGCTAAAGCAAATAAATCCGCTACTTTAACATGCAGGTCACCGCAGGTGTCTGTTTATTTTATTCGTTAAATATTTCATTTGGCCGGCTAGGGCCAATTACGAGCGCGCCGAACGGCCAGCCTTGCCGCTTCGCTCTGACGAGCCGCGCCGAACTCTCTGACGCGCCTCGTGCGACAATTTCTCGTTTTACGACAGAAAATGTAAAAACGTAATATTTGCCATTTCTAGATATCGTAAACTTAAGTCTCGATTCAACCTTCAATATAGACTTCAAGCTATTTCAATTTCGGAATAATTGTTAATTTGATATTAATTGTTTCCGACAAAAAAATCTTTGAATTAAACATCAACTTACATTTATATAGCGTGAATAAGGTCAATTATATAAAGAATAATTACAAAGTTCTTGCAGTTTTAAATTGTCATTACTTCCGTTTTATAAATTCAGTAACAAAATTAAGCTATTAAAAATATTAAAGCAATTTTATGAAATTTATTATGTATTAAGAGGAATTTCTTATTTGTAAAATTTTCTTCCTAAAATATAATAGATTGGAAGAGAGTTGAACCGCGATTTCTCGATTTCCTCTGTGTCCACTAGATTTAAATCTATTGATTTCTTTTTATAGAGGCGTATTAGGATTATTATTTAATAAAATCTCGCTTTTTAGACAATCGACAGATTAAGATTAACGGGATTTGAAGTATCTCACATTTTAAATCAATCGCAAAATATATTTAGAACTAGATACAAAATGAAATAATGGATATGAATAAGAAACAATTCCTTGAATAAATGTATTTAAAATTGAAATAAATTTTTTATTTACATTTCTAACGGATTTAGCATCAACGGGTTTTGCTTTATCAAACATAGAACGGAAATTATAAAAGTTTAAAGTAAGAATTTTAAAATCATCCTGTCTAATCGGAAATTATTATCAATATTATGTTTTATGTAATGAGCATTTCTGCTTTTTTGTTAGACGACTAACTGCAATCATTTTATTAAAAAATTATTTAAATAACTAAATTTAAATTTTTCATAAATATGTCTAGATACATCAAAATTCGCGTATAAACAGAAGAATATCTCAAATAGATTACAAGAAATTAATCATAGATTTAGCATCAACATTTATATAGTATATATATATTTATACAACCCCAATTTCTATTTAACACTTGTAATTAAAGATAAAGTCATAAAGATATACATGATATAAATTTTTAACAGTAGGGTTATTCATATGTCAACTAATTATGATATTTATAGCTTCGTTAAATATTTGTTATATCTTATATTACAATCCTATAAGTTATGAACAAAAAAGTCGAAAATATCTAAATAATATACACAATAAATTTGATTGTCTTTTCAACAAATTAATCGTGAATCATCCGGAAATAATAAAAACAGGATCTAACGGCGTTGGATATTGTGTCAATGTTGCAGGTATGGTTCCAGAATCGGCGAGCGAAATTTCGCAAGCAGGAGAGGTTGGCTCAGCAGAAGTCTACGTCGCAAAGTGGCATCGGGGTCGACAGCGGCGCGTCCAGCCCCGTGGCCGGTACAGTGAAGGCGGAAGGACGGTCGCCGAGGAGTCCGGCGACACCACCCGGTGGCTCGAACAGCGTGCTTTCGTCGAATGAGATCAAGCCGATCGCTAACCAGAATCTGGTGAATGTGAAGCACAATACGGATGGCACAAGCGACGGCTCGCCCAACGCTCGGGGAAACAGCGGCGGCGGCGGTACCTGGGGCTCCTGCAGTCCCAGGCCCTTCTCGGCGGCCCTGCCACCCTATCTGTTAGATCCGCTGCCGCTGAAAACCGCGAATCTTTACTAAACCGTCTATCCCGTCACCGGCCTGGCGGAGAATGTAAATACAGAGAGCCGCCCGCTCGTCAACACGGAGACGACACGCCGTTCAGGTTCAGGGAGCGTCCAGGTTTCTTCCCGAGCCCCGGTTTCCCGTGACACGCGACTTTGTCGGTGTCCATCCGCATGTGCGGTATATCTTTGAGAACTCCGGTAAGACGTGCCGCTCATATTTTTGACAAAGATACATTTAGGCAGTCGGGAGAACGGGCAGGTTTGTCAGCTTGCTTTGACGTAGCTGAGATACATTCCGAAATTTGTGCGCACACAAGACAGAGCGTTGAATGCCAATCATTGAAAAATCATGAGTCGAGGTGAATATAACTTATTGTTAGTGAATTTCGATTGTGGTATTATCGTACAGAAGCCAATCAGATACTGTCTCTTAAATTTGACGGAGAAATAATTCGTAACATCAAATATTTTGAGCAGTTTTATAGTATGTGCTATGTTTATTCTGCATTCCTGTGATAAGTGTAGTAATATTTGAGAGATTAATATATGTTCTTTTGATTTCTTTCCAGTTGCTTTAATCTACACGTTATTGTATTTGTAGATAGTGGAGAGAGAAAGAAAATAGCGTACAATTATATGACGTAAAATATTGTTTTTGTTGATACAAATATGCTGTACCTATCTTATTTAACAAAATAATTTTAAAGAAGCATAACTTGAAATAATGTTTTCAGGCATTTATCGAGAGACTAACCAAAATAATTGAAAAATAATATAAATGTGGATTTATACTCGTATCAGGATCACATTCCAGTTGATATCGAGAATAATAAAGTTTATGCGCGCAAGTATTTACTCTAAACGACAATTTTAATGTTCCCGAGGAATAAGAATGAAATATTTATACATATTAATTTAATAAGATTTCTTGTGACTCACTAAAGTATGTAAATATAAATAGTTTTATATTTTTTCTAAGACAACTTGATAACAAAACAATAAAATTAATTTAAATATAATATATGTGACATTGTAATAGAGTTAAATATAAAAGATCTCTCTCTTCCTTTAAATTAAAAATTTATTTTATACTTTTTAATTAAATAAAATGGTTTTCTTAAAAATTTGATTAAATCGATTTCTTTCAATAAAATTAACCTATTTAGGGTATTATATAAGAACTATTGTGATCTCATTAATTTAACGTAAAATAATCTTGAAGTATCCTAATAAATATATTACGTCGTTTTCATTTATTTATACGTTTTATTATAATCGTAAGAAAAATAAGGATTTCATCTGAATCAATACAAACGCTATTAAAACATTGCTCTAATCTTCGTGGGACATTAAATTTTCGTTTTTAGTATATGCTTCCTATCCATATTATTTTCTATTAACGATGCCAAGCTAGGATTAACACAAAAAACAGCGTAGAATAGTATCCATAAAAGTACTATTAATCACGCGATTATCACTGGACTTAACAGACTTAGTTTATCAGGGTTGATTTAAGTACTGAAAATTATGGCTACATTGCGAAAACCTCTTACGATATTTATTATGTGTATCAAGTAGCAAAAAACATATACTTCCACCGTAAAATCCTTGACGCAATTATCGAACGTACTTCGCACTGATTTAATGCGCGATTCCAGCGACCTGTCGAATAATTAATTAATTAAATGTTAAAAGCAGCGATAACTAAATAAAAAAAAAAGAGAAGAGAGTGAAAGCTTGTTTAGTGTCAAAATAAAAATGACTTTCGATACAAAAATTTATTTTACTAAATTACAAAGAAGAAAAATACTCTGAGAATAATATTATTATATTAATTGTTAAATTATATTCTGATAGGGAATTTATATTTGTCTCAACTAAAAAATATTTATATTAATATAAATATTTTTATTTATATTAAAAACACTCATATTAATCTAAAAGAATATAGAAAAGACGTGGAAACCAAAGTTCAAATCCAATTAAAATTGCCACTTTAATTTTATATCAATTTTATATATTCTATTTTGTTATAAAAGTTTCTGTTGCAAAACTATAACATTGTAGTTTGCCAATTTCAATTCGGTAAAAGTGTAAATTTAGAGTGTACAAAACTCTAGAATGAAAGTCTTATATCAAGAATCGCTGTATAACGCGAGATTATTAATTCGCGTTAATTCGCAGATCGACGGAATTTCTTCTTAGGAAGCCCTTAAGATAAATACTTACATACCGTCCTGTGTGTCTCGTACCAAGAAGAGCGAGGGTATCTGTCTTATCACGATATACGATGGACAATTTTGGCAGTGGTCTGACTCGTTCATCGTGCGCCGATAACGAGCGCACCTTATTCTGCGTATGTATAGTTTATCGATTACGACTGAATCTATTTTATAGTGAGATGTATAAATGTACATTAGTTAAGATGAAAGGTATGTATAGTTCACCTGAAAATATTTTTTTCCTTTCATGAGGTCTCGACAAATTCACCTTAACTCTTAGAGGACCAGTAATTGGATACATCTCTCTCAACTATATCAATTATATCAATATGCTATTACTAATAATTATTGCTAAGCTAAACATAATTGAAATTCTTATACTCGTCACGATTAAGAATGTTCGATTCTAATTTGTTTCTCTAAAAGAATCGATTTTTTTGCAAGAAATCGGATTTGAAATTGCCCTGCTTGTATAGAAAGAAAACGATTCTTTTTTTACAAAAAAAATTCGATTTAAAATAATTTTCTTTGTTTAGAAAAATCAATTTCTGTAAAAAGTTGATTTAGAATCACTTTCCAGGGTTGAAAAGTCGAATTTTTAAAAAGATTAGATCAACCCTTAGGATATTTCTTTCTATTTTCTTCTTTTTACGAAAAATGGTAGTTTGTATTCCAATACGATAATTTTATAAAGTACAATATTAAAATGTTAATTAATTAGAACAAATTGTCTGATGAATAACGAATAAAAGATTGCCTAGTTATTAAAGCTCTAGAAATTATTACAAAAGTAACTGATATTTTGCAGAGACATAAAGGTCCTCTGAAAGTTAATGGGAATAGCGTGCGAAAATTTTTATCGTATCCCGAGGCAATCCATATCCCAGTTCGATAACGAATGTGATTTTTTAACGAGGCACTTTTACAAAACTGCGTATTACTGGCGTGTAGCGAGCCGTGCTTTCGCCCATCTCCGCGAAAGACGCGCATTATCGATTATACGCGACGGCAACGAGAGGGGAAAAGGCTCGTCTCCGCAAGCCAGGAAGCGTTCGTGAACTCTGAACAGCTTCGTTGCTCCCGCCATTATTGTTAAGATTAACGAATGGTAATTATCGATATGTGTGAACCGGAACTTGTACAGTTGTTGCTATAAATATATGAAATTAGTGTTTTACACCATACTCATACTCACTTCTATCCGTTAAAATCACTCCAGTGAATTCCTATTTCGTTAAATAATTAATAGATATCTTTTAAGCACTCTATTTTATTATCTACGTTTAATGTTAATTTTATATTATTCTATTACTTAGTTCCTATTATTTTATATATTTTTTGTATAAATTAAAAATCTCGTTTTTACTTCATTACGCGTTTTGGGTAAAAAGGAATGTTCAAAGAAATTCAAGTATACATTTATTGAAAATCATAATTAAATTAATTTCTCGTCTTAATCGTTGGTTACATCGTTGCTGCTGGTCGTAGTCCGGTTATATAGATTGTTATTTTCGTATTTATTACATCGTCGAATATCCGCTGCAATCGATGTCATGTGTTTAATTATTATGCTGTAAATATCAAAATCATTGCCCCAAAGTTAGAAGCGATATTTGTCCATGATGGAGTGCTTTTGCAGTCTTTACTGCATAATTTCGATCTGTTATGCGAAACAGTTAAAAAGCAGTGCATCTTTAATTTCCATGATACATTCTGTTTCGCTGGCCTAATAGAAAGGAGAAGAAAATATTATCTAACATGTTTAATCTTGAGCAATGCTATTAAGAAATGTTAAACGATGAGCAATATCAGCGATGTAAAACAGTCTGGCAATTTGTTTTCATTAGTGTACTGAAATATACTCTGTTACTTATTGAAAATATCTTCGTCTTTTGAGCTTTCTGTAAATTTTCTGAAATAGTCTCTTAATTTTTTTATTTATTTCGACAAATCGTAGAAGCAAATATTTTAACAAGTTTGGATGGAAATAACAAGAAAAAAAGACGTCTTTAATTATTCAAAATAAACTTTTGATTGACAAGTACAAAAATAAATAGAAACCTAAAAGTCCGAAATTATTCAGAAAGAGTTTCTATTTTTCTAAGAAAAAAGAGAGAAGAAATTAAAGCAATAAATTTAGTCAAAATTGTTATAAGTTCAGAGATGTACTCAACTTGCCAGTTTTTACAACTTTAAATCTGACATCTCGCGGATCGATTGTCAAGTCGTAATCTCCTATTTCCTGATTAAGAATAAGAAAGGAAGACAAAACAAAAAAAAATAAAAGTTTCGTACTTTCGTAATTGCTCGTCATCAGATTAGTCGTTTGCGTATAGTATCGTCATAAAGAATCGCTCAGGCTACGAAAATTGTATGAAACATAGTAGAATCATTGAACAATTAAGCGGATGAATGAAACTGACACTTCAGTTTTAACTCTTGCAATACGTTTACGAATCCCATAAAATCTTCATAGCACCCGGTGCAAGCCATCGTGACGATTGAGCATGAATGGGTCTAATTGACTGCAGGAATAAATCCACATATTGTGTCGATAACTTGCGATCGGATGAAGTATTATTTTAATAATGGCAAAGTCGATTCCTACGACTTCTGAAAATTGAGGCAAAGAAAATTTTACGGTAGATATCCTTAAAAAATAAATGTGCTTCATTAAATAAACCTATTAATTGATACATAAAAAAATCCTGTACTTCTTTTTGTATTTCTAAACGTATCTTTTTAATTTCTTTAATGTCAAAGCTTCATATATTTCGAAATGGGAAAAATTACTGTGCCATTATTAAAATGACAAATTTGTATCTTGAGTCGTATTACGAATAAATAAATTATACAATTAGTTCAATAATAAATTTATCTGTAATACGATCTCATGCATACAATGCGCGATTTCATATCGCAACATTATCAACAGTCTGCAGTGGCTTACTCGTGCACGATCGAGTCTCATCGCGACCTTGTGGAATTAGACACCATTATTCTCCACTACAGCGCAGTTCGCGATAATGAAAATGTAGTCATCGACATTATCGAATCGTCGTAAGCTAGAATAGGAGAAATCGAAATTCCCGGAGCAGCGCGTTCGTCTGTCGTCGAATACACAGTCAGACGCCTCTATATATAGATGTATTTACATTAATATATAAGACTGGATCGAGGATTTTCCTCGAGCGGCGTGTGTGGGGGTAGGGCCTATCAATTAGGCCATCGTGAGGGTACCCGCGCCAATTCCGAAGCCCACGCCTTTAGGCCCAAAATTCCGGTTGTAGCAACTGCGGCAGTAGATGTCTCCGTCCGGACCGTCATTCAAGTTCGTCGAATCCAGGGAACGGTTACATTCACCGCAGCTGAAGCACCGCTTATGCCATACGCGGTTCTTTGAGATCATCTGCTCGGCAGCGTACACCGGGTAGCCGCAGCGCGAGCAACCGTGTCCATCGTTTCGCTTCTGGCCGACCTGAGGCTTTGACTCGATGCTACAAAATGAAAACGACATCTGAGAATCTGATATATGGAAAAACTTTGATTGATAAGGACAATTCAGGTGATTAATATAAATTGATTATTTTCAAATTTATATTTTTTATGAAAATTATCAATAAAGCAGATAACAACATTGTATTGAAAAATTTTACGACTTAATAAGCTTTATATAAATTTTTCGTGTAGATGCATTCATGTCCTCAGAAAAGAATAATAGCTTTAGAGAGGTATTCATAGTTCGTTCTTATTTTAAGATCATCTCAAGTAATGCCTTAAGATGTTAATGCGGCTCTCTCATTGGTTCGTGACATCTTAAAGCTGTACTTAAGATGGTTTTAAATACATGATTTGACTATGAATATCAATCTCAATATTTCCGTACATAAATCATAGCACTACGTTCAATAATTCATATAAGCTTACATCTCACACGATTACTCGGGTGTTAAAGGAAAATTCTAATTAGAAAAGTAGGTCGATTATCAAGATCGCTATCAATCATCAAAGTTTCCCTGATAACAAACTTTTCGCTATGGTATTTCGCACCGTGTTTCAGAAACTAATTACTCTCGGGGAGTCTCGAGATACACTTACTATGAAGGGGCATGATCTCCATTCGTCGAGACGAGAGTCGGTTTGTGGCCGAATCCGAAACCTTTGGGCCCGAAGAGCTTTCCGTAGCACGCGCGGCAATGGATCTCCTTGTCAGGGCCATCGCATGCCAGCATGGAGTCTAAGGGTCGGTGACACTCGGCGCAATTGAAACACTTTTTGTGCCACATGGTGCCCTTGGCGAGCTGTTGTTCAGCGGCAAACACCATGCCACCGCAACGGGGGCAACCCTGTCCAGCTGGCGCCTTAATCGAGGTCGTATCAGGATTGTAATAAGGTCGACTGGCTGAAATTTCTTCTTCCCTACGGGTAATTAATTCGATTACGATATAATCCCACCTCATTGATTATTGGACTTAATGCATTTTAACTTAATTTCTATCTATATCATTTTGACAAGTCACAATAAAAAAATATGTAAATGAAGATATATGTGCTGATATTAACAATATTATATTCAAGATCGTTTGACATAAGATTTCCTCTTGACCGTACTATGTAATTTTGTTTAAAATTTTAAATTTCAGATTTATCTTCTACCTTTCTAATTTCGATATGTTTTATCCTTTAAAATGTATTTGCCATTTTCCTTAAATATGTCACAACATATGACGTAACATATATAAGTAGCATATGTGAAAAAATTTTTATCCAAGATCAAAATTTTTTCCTAAATTATATTAGAAATACACATTTTGCATTTATATAATATAGTTAGCAAAACTCTACTACAAATAAATTAAATAATGCTTTTACAAATTTGTTTGATAAACTTTAGATGATAAAAACTCTGTAATTTTATTAATTTTTTCAATAATCACTTTATTAATTAATTTCCACTAACTAATTCAAGGATATCATATTGAATCGTGAATCTGAGAAAATCATAAACTCATTCGAAATCTTCGCGAGCCTCCGTTCAACGTGCATTTATAGAGCGGTTATTTAAATCGACTTGTATTTATAGTCAGGCATTCGGCAGAGTTACGGGCTAAACTCCCAGCATTGGCCTCGGGACTTACGTGAGTCCGTCGGTCTGGAGGAATCCCGAGCCACATGCGAATCCGTATCCGTGCGGTCCCCACTTCTTGCCGTAACAGGTCTTGCAGTAAACATCCCGGTCCGGGCCGTCACAGGCGATGATCGAGTCCAGGGTCTTGGTGCAGTCGCGGCACTTGTAGCACTTCCGGTGCCATTCGCGACCCTTGGCGAGCACCTGCTCGGCGGCGAAGACGACGCCACCGCAGCGGGGACAACCCTTGCCGGGCGGGGCCTTGATAATCGCGGTGTCGATTACGGTGGTGCGAGGAGCCGCATCGCTGTATCGTAAAGAGATCGCATTATCGCCGGTCGTTCTCGATGACTGAGCCGATTGTTGAATCGTAGGGATTACAGAAAAGCAATTGATTTATCTATTCGACCATTATCTAACTATAAGTAAACTTGAGTATAGGTATTTAAATTCCATACTGAAAAATGAAAAACTGGAAGTTTGGGTTGTCTTTTGCTTTTCTTACCTTTACAATTCGTTTATGATATCACAAAAAAGTGAAATTGCATGCGAATGAGAGGATGATTGATCGTTAGCAATCGCTTGATAAGGCAAATAGAAAAGTTGAAGTTTTCTAAAATGTTTTACGATTTTTGATAAATATATTTTATTAAAGAATATAAAAAATTGTACAGTTCGTTAAAGTCATTAAAATCACATTCAAAATTTTTTAAATATCCTGTACAAAAAGAAAATATAATAATAATTTTCACATAAAATAAATAACGTTTTACAATAAACATACATATATAAAATATAATAAATATCAATATCTGAAATAGTTCTAATAAAAATTGCAATAACAATATAAGCTTCTATTAATCATAAAAGAAGTAGTCATTTGTGAAATTAAGTTTTCTTCCATAGCCATAACACGCGATTACGAAGTTTTTATTTCATGGAGTTTTAAGTAAATTATACGTCACACTTTTGACTTTCTATTTAGTTAAGAGAAAAGATAAGAGCTCTGGATCAATTTACATTTGATACATGATTACTAATATGATACTTAGTCGCAAGGGTATTAGTAATAACGAATCAGATTCTACATGAATTTCAGGTTCAGAGTTATGAATACATGCATACAAGACCGTACAGACCGTGTGGTAACAGGAATGTCGAATGCATATGGAAGAATCTCTGGCAACTATCAATGTCAGCGTGAGTATTCCATTAATATAAAACGAATTATGATGGCCATTGAGAAATAACACTCGATATTCCGATACGATCAGCCGATTCGTGATGCCAGGGTGAGTAATAGCGCAAAGCGTTAAGGCGTCGGCTATATGTATATATATGTGTGTATATTATATATACACGGACACACACAGGTGCACGCATGTACACAGTGTCTTGGAGAAGATGCGTGCCAGTGGCAATTTTCCTACGTTCTTCGAGAAAGTCGAGGCCGACTTCTTCTCAAAAGATATAACCTTTAAAAATTCCATATATTATATTTTTAATTTGAAAAAACTTCATAAATTTAAAACATCTACATAATATGTAAAAATGATAGAAAGAAAATTTTTTTATGTAAATTGTATACGTAGATTACCGTTTATATATTCAAGAATGTTTGCAATTTTCTTGCATCTCACGAAAAGTTAAGTATTATGAAGATTTAAATGAAATTTGAGATGAAAAAGATTTTCTGTACACAGAAGTTTTTAGAAATATATTTTAAAAAGGAGAGATATACAGTTGTAAATTTGTTTTTCAGTTTTATTCTCCCATACGCTTTTGTTTCTGTATTTCTAAATTACATAAAATTAAAAATTAATATTTAAAAAAATATTTTCTTTATTTTGAAGCGTACAAAAAACGAAAAAGTATTTAAAGTAGACTTTTCGAGCTTTAAAATCTTTTAAACAAATGCAATGATTTTTTATGGTGATGTCTAATTTCATATGTCAAAATTTATTTTTACAAAATGTGATTTAACTTTTAAATTAAAGAATTTACAGAAAAAAGAAAGAAGAAAAAGTTTTTGCTATAATATAATGTCCTTAATATTCATAATTATACTTCCAGAGATATATTTAAAAAGGAGATTGCATAAATATATTACGTATTTAAACATTTATTAGTTTAACATTTTTATTTCTCATTTCCTTGATTATAAGATTCAGTTAGTATAGAAAATTCCTCAGGATGTAAAAAATTTATTATTTAACAGAGTGGAAAAAATAGTATACTAAATTTTTAATTTTAATCAATTTTTGATAATTAATATTATACTCATATTTCTTATTCTCATATAAAGAATTTTTCTGAATAAAAAAATAACCGATAATATTATCTTCTATTTAAAGAAATCACTGTATATGTATAAAAAACTATTCTTTCAATTTCAAATGTTGTAACTCTTCTCAATTAAGATGGGTTGTTTATGTTTTACATGAAAAAAACCAAGAAACGAGAGCAATAATTTTTCGAAAAGAAAAAATCGTCGCAAATTGCTCGAAGATAAAGTTGTCACTACTCGCACGCTTTTCTTTCTCCAAGCACTCTGTTTACGCGCGCAAAATAATCGTCATAACTATAAAGGGGCGCGTACCCCTCGTCCTCAATATCGCACTGCAGCCCGATCCACATAATCCCGGCGTGGCCGATACCCCGCGGACCGAATTTCTTCGGATAGCAAGCTGTTAAGCAGACAAGCGCATCATATATAGTGAAAGTGTAGAAGCCGAGGCGGGATTTCTCTTTCTCGCGTGCTTCCCATCTCAGTCCCGACTCTGAAAACCCACCCATTGGCGTAGCAGTCACTCTGCAGGGCGCCGCCACCCTGGCCATAGCCATAACCCTTCGGTCCGAACCTCTTTCCGTAGCATACTGTAGACAATATCGATTAAAGGTTTCACGTCGCCTAACGTTATCTCGTGATGATGGTCAGCGACGAAGACAATCGTACAGATACGCCAATGCAATTTTTTATTTTTCTCAAGACTGTTCCACGTTACATACATATTAATTTATCCAGGAAGGGCAAGTAACTTCCCATCTCTGAATTGATCCTTCATATTAAGCTCATAATGAAATGTGAGATGTTAAAAATTTAATAAGATTGATACAGTATATACTTAAAAGAGATTCTAGAATTTCCAAACATTTTTTAGAGACGATACATTAAAAAAAACCTTGCATATATAATTGAAAATTTATAATGCATTTGTATATAATAAATGTTATTTTAATACGACTAGAAAAATCTCTTCGTTGTTCATCTCGTTTTGATCACATTTAGAGACTTAACCAATTTCTAAAAATAAAATTTTACCTTTCAACAGCTGTAATTCTCTTGGTCTCAGTATGTTTAATGATCAATTTTAGTAAACATTATATATTATTCATATATTATTTAGCCGCTCATGCGCGGAAAATGTTTTCATATGTATTAAATTAATTTTGTATCGCATTTCGCATATTTTGTACGTTATGTCTTCATACGCGCGATTGTACCGAGTCCTCACCTTTGCAATAAATGTCCTTATCAGGACCTTCGCAGCAGTTGACGGAGTCTAATCTTTTCGCGCAGTTGGCACACTTAAAGCATTCCCTGTGCCATTGCTGCACGAAACACAAAGGGTTAGTCACTAAAAGTTCCAAGGAAGGGCGAAAATATTGTACAATATCGTTTTCTTGTACAATCGTTCAGGAGCGCAGACATTAAAAGCTCCTTATAGCTCGCCAAGATTGTTACATTACAATATTCGTGTAGCACTAGCAATAAATAATGCTACTGTAATCTTTATCCTTTCTTTAACGTATTTATGTTGTTCTAATTGCTCTTATAAAATTCTTATGAACTAGCTTATTGAGAACATAACTAGACATCATTTTTGTTTTGTAGAAAAGTTCTCGTAATAATTTTAAATAAAACTGAAGAAAAGGACACATTAATATTAATGCAATTAATAAGACATTTTAAATTTACTGCATAACACTGCAAATTCTTTAAACATTTTTTAATAATATATATATCTTTATAATAAATTAAAGTTCTATTGATAAAATTTTTTATCATATTCATTTATAGTCTAGATGTTTGAATAATTTGAGATTAAAAAATTTGTTGAACTTTGATCTTTTATTTTGAAATTATTAAGTAATACTTAATACTAAAACTTAATACTAAAACTAACAGCATTTTCGCTAATAATATTTTCCGTAATTTGATCACTACAGTATTTATGGTTTCCTGTAGTAGAGCGGTAATTCTGGAAAATGACAATTTAGCAATCTAAATTCGTTCAGAAAAAATAAACAGCTATTCGCGCGCCTAGATAACAAAGATGAGAAAAGAGAATGATAAAATAATCGACAATTACGATTCTTCTTCTGTGACGCTGTGCAGCCCTTGTATGTTTGGGGGCTGTTTCCTGGCGGCGGAAAGAGTTTATAAACTGATTTTAGTAGGTAACAACAACAAGAAAGACCAAGTCAGAGCGGAAACAGACAGAGAATGTAGACAGAGAAATAAATACGTTCAGGAGATGATAATCGTTCAACGTTTCAGAACACAGGACTGTCAGTACGGATATATCTGTACAATAAACCGAGAAAGAATTAAGGAGCCATAAAGGGGGGGATTGTAGATTTTTTAGATGAAAGATACCTCGACAGTATATCTCGCGGTCGGGACCATCGCAATGAAGCGTAGAGTCCAGAGTGCGGCGGCACATTTTGCACTTGAAGCACAGTTTATGGTAAGCCTATCACAAGAATGAGGATTGACCAAAACGACGGAATTCAACGAGACTTATCGGTGTTATTCTTGGTGCCGCGACAAATCGTCGAATATCCTATTTCAATTTCTAGAATATCTTAAGATATAATTTTAGTACTTCCCTTAATTCTACAACGGCGGCAGATTTCCAGTTAGAGAATATATTCGCGTTAAGTGATGCAAGATAAAAAAAATTTTTCATAAAGTACATCCTATCACAGATTTTTATAAAGATACGATTCTTCTCGTTCAAGGAGGAGCGAGCAGAAATTGCGTAATCGAATTCTCGCGCAATGAAGCGACTTCAACGGTACACCGATGAGTCATAGATGACGAGAAAGATGGATTGCTATCGTCGTTTTCGCACGCGGATATTATCGCTGGACCAGATTGTCGGCCAGCAATTAGCTTCCATTGCTCTGGTTCCGCGTGGCGCTTCTTCTGGTAGCAAGCCATTTTATCGCCGGGTATCCGCGGGCTGGCTAAGATTGGCCGGCCAGTTGGGGCGTCGCCAAAATCATTCTCTGACGAAACCACCGAGAAAGTTTCTGGGTTAGCACCCCCAGTCGACAGAGAGCGAATCCTCCTATTCCTCTCGCCTCTCCCGTTCCTCTCTTTCGCTACTATTTTTTTCCTCACATTGTTATGAAATGGAGATTGGATAAGATTACGGGGACGCGTGACGCGGTCCATTACCACGCGCCGCGTGCCGAATTTAGACGCGCGGCAGAAGCCACGATGCGCCGCGTTACCGCAACTGTTTTGTAACCCGCGGCGCATTTTTACCGTCCAGATTTTCCGAAATACATGTGAGTAAGCGCGACGAAGAGGACGCCGTTTGCGTCAATCTGTCTGTCGCCGCGTCAGCGACCGATTTTATTGCTTCGCATGCTAAAACGCGCTACAAACCCACGAGCCGCCCTCGCCCGGTGAAATATTCGCGGTTCGAGGCTGATTCACCCACAGATATTGCAACACGGCCCTAATTCGAGAAATATATAAAGGGTCATTTTCGACTATCATCTGCCAATCTAGAAGTAGATGAAAGATCAGTTGAAGAATCAGTTAAGGAACAAGTAAAAACCATATTTTCGCCTTTTAGTTTCTTATTATCTGGGATCAAAAATTGAAGCCGCCAATCTAATTAGCTACAATACTTACGTTCTATAGAGAATCTAATGTATACACCGAAATTTACTTTCTATCAATTATCTTTATAAGTAAATGATTAAGTGAATATACTTAATTGACGATTTGAGATGTATGTATATATGTTAACTCTGTTATAATATAATTTCTAAAACGCACGAGTGAACGATCGGTCGAAGCACCAAGGAGACGCAAGACTTCTATTGTTGTGCATTTAACGCTAAATGCAATCAAGTAATTATTACACGTCAGTGCTATTCAAACAGTTACACTTTGATGCTATAATAGGATTTCTTAATTGGTTATTTATCAGTATTCTCTTGTAGCATTTAGTGTTAAATATGCGCCGCGTTTGCCTATCTTTAAAATAAACTCACCCTTCCTCGGGCCAACATCTGCTCTGCTGCATAAACGTAGCCTCCGCAGCGAGGACATCCCTCTCCCTCGGGTGCCTTGGCGATAGCTCGAGGCTCGAGAATAGCGTTCGAACCTCGCGAAAATTCACCCCTAAAAATTAAATTTATATTAGAATCCATTAATCAAATTTACGCACCCAATACTATCGTAAGATATTTCAGAGATAAAACGAATAATCTTATTTGACATTTATACTTCTAGATATTTATAATACTTTTTTCATAAAGTAGCACTTTTAGAGTTAAAAGAGATGATATCTATTACTAATTCGTTTTATCTGAAAATTCAATATTTAAATATAAGCACTGAACGCGAAAGCCACTAAATACAAAAGCATTCAGATAAAGGAATGATCGAATAGTGAAATTGATGGTTCACACATAAAGTAATACATAAGTATGATAATTATAAATTAGAAATAATATAACAATTGAAATAATTAATTAAAATTTGATTTTCAAGCTAGGTTTTTCAAAACAAGGTTTTTGAAGTCGAGATAGTATGTAAAACAATATATTGATAAAATTGATTTAAATAATATGTTATAAAGATACGTAAAAGAAAAAATTGGTAAAAAACTAAAAAAACTGAAGCTATACACAAAAGAGATTTATGATACATACACAAAGGACAAAATTTTTGTTATTAAAACAAAAGTGTAATTATGAAGTACTAATAATTATTAATAATTACTAATAATAGCTATATTACCAGATTAATTTATAGGATTAGGATTTATATGTATTTCATTAAACATCAATGAAATACTTTGCAGGGAATTACAAAAACTTATGATGTGTGTGCATCAGTATGTAATTTGAGGAAAATATTAAAATATTGTGATCCGTCAATTTCACGTCTGAACACTACTAGTTTATAAAAACAAATAGCGCTTTCAAGACATTTCACTCTCCGACAAACATCAGAATTCTTCGAATAATTTGATGCAACTGTAAAAAATGAAACGATATTCTATTTAGTAAAATGTCCAATATAGTTTTGCATTGGTATCATCATGTTGCAAAGAATGATAAAGTAAATGCATGATAACATTTATATAGATAAAACGTTAATTTTTTTCCACTACTTGATAATTAATCTTGAGAAAGATATTACAAAAATAATTAGTGTTATATTTATTTAATTAATCTTTTAAAAAATTAATATTTTTTAATTCTATTTGATATGTAAAATATAGTATACTGTGCATATGTACTTTCAAAATTTTGAAATGTTATATAAAGTCAAAACTTTTGTTTCGATTTGACATTAATAACTTAAATACTTTCTTGCATTACATTTGATTTTCGTTGAAGACATCGAAGAAACTTGTGTCGGATTTGACAAAATTGGGAAATAACATAAATAACGTAAATACATCAAATAATCAATAATTAATTATGGATTAGCTCATTAGGCAAGTGTTAGTCAACGTGTTAGTGTAATTTTTCCCCTTCGCAACCACGGTACAATGCTTCCGCCGAGCCCCGAGAGAGAAGAGCCGAGAAGCAAACTGAACGGCATAGTTGAATATCAACAAATAATATACGTCAAAAGAAAATAGGAGCGATAGACGGAGAGAGAGAGAAAGAGAGAGAGAGAGAGAGAGAGAGAGAGAGAGAGAGAGAGAGACAAAGAGAGTGATAGAAAAGAAGGAACAGGGAAGAGAGGAACATAGTGCCGCTGTGTCGGGTGCAGTGTGGAGAGCCTGTGCATGCGTACGCACGCATCCGTACCGTGAGATGAAATATCATCGACGCAGTGAGGTGACACCGATCGTGCTTGTCTTTCTCGTAGCGCGACAATTGCGCTGCTGAGGTGGGTTTTATATTACGGCATAGTGGCATATATACAGCGGGACGCATGAGCGGTACAGATGCACATGCACTTATCACGATTGGTTGTTGGATTCGTCCTGACGATCCAGACCAGTCCAAAGTGGACGCAGTGTGTTTGATCACTATATGTCAAACTCAATGAAAAATAAAATATGTATATGTTAAAAAATATAAAGAATTAAAGTGAAGTTGATCCTCATGGTTCAATGAATAATAATTAATAGGATAGGTAGAAAGAGAGAGAGAGAGAGAGAGCTACATAATAGTTTTCTTTATTTGTAAGTTCTTTGATTTGCACGTATTCGATTGTGAATCATCTTTTCTTGCTATATTTAAATAAAGTTTATTAAATCAAATTGAATTTTAATGAAACTTCATTCGTGAAAATAAAGTGTCAGTTCTTTTAAATAACTTATAATTTAACTCTTGTAATATGATTATTATATCTTTTAAAATATTTATTAAGGAACAATTCTCTTTGCATAAAAGGTTTAATGAAAAGACAGCTGACGAGGAATTTGAGATATCCTGTTCAAACACAGAGCATGACAAGTGCATTTGCACCAGACTGAACGCGCTCCTATGAAAGAACATAGACGGCATATATAAAGATTTATTTCAATGGCATTATTATCATCGCTAATTTGCGACACTGTTCGTTGTCGAGAACGGTGTTGATCGCCGTTACCTCATTATATCGACATCGTACGCGAATACACTAACACGCACGCGGGCACGCACGCACGCACGCGCCAGCACCCACGCAAGTAGTTAAGGTGTTAGCGAGATTATAAGATTAGAAATGGTGCGAGAGAGGCCATGCAGGAGAGCTACGTGTATATAAGCTACAAAAAAGAAAAAGAAGCTGCTTCGTCACGCGGCGAAAAAGAAAAAAAAAGAGAGATAGCGAGAGAGACCCGGCAAAAGATAATTAGTCGGATCGACGTTGATTGAATATATCAATGTCGATTTGACTAAATATTTCTAACGGGGAAGAGAAAGAAAAAGAAAGAGACAGCGAGATGAGAGAGAGAGAGAGATAGAGAGGTGCAATTTGACTCGATGCTCACCATTCTCGTACTCGGAATTTTCTCTTTATCACGCAGCTCGTACTATGTGATAAAGTAACAACGGTATATTGTTCAATGCTTGCCTCCGGTTGGCTCGTGCTCGGCGGGGCTGGCGGGGGCGGGGTGTGTCGTGTGTTTCTTTTCTCTTATTTTCATTTTGTATATATTTTTTCTCATTTTCTTTAAGCTTCGTCTCCTTTCTTAGCGAAAGAGTCTGAAGAGAGGAAGACGAATGGCCGAGGATGCGAGTTTCGTACGCAAAGGCTCGACGTCATAGAAATAAAGTAGGAACGTGCAGCGATGTGTAACGCTTCAACAGTTTACTTCCACGGATTCATAGAGTACGTCGCGTGTCGTTCAGTCTCGGTCAAAATCACAGTCACATATTGAAAACGATATAATCTCAGCGAGATCGCATTTTAATGCTATGGATATATGAAAATATTTCTATATTAATTCGCGAAGGAGACAATAACTTTTTATATCCATAGCATTCTAGTCTCAACTTTCCGAATTTATATCAGTTTCAATACCCTGATTTCACAATTCAAAGTAGATTCGCGCGATAATTTATATCGATGATCTCGAAATTTTGACTGAATTTAATTGTATACTCCGTTCTGAGAGTTTAAAAAAATACGCTCGCTACGCACATCACTCGTACATTGATCTATTTACACACTGAAAGGTAATGGGGAAACGTGTGTTACATTCGTTAATGAAAGACACCGCTTGGTTGTTTTGTTTCCAGTTTTATCTTTCCCTTTTTTCCACTTTTAATGGCACTTATTACAGATGGTACAAATGATCCTACAAACTAGCGTATATATTCGCATAAAAGAAAATAATAATCATAAAAGAAGAAAGAAAAGAGGAAAAGAGAGAGAGAGAGAGAGAGAGAGAGAGAGAGAGAGAGAGAAAGAGAGAGAACAATTTAATCGGTTGGACGTGACGATATTGGTCAATCACATCAGGAGACGATAAGGAACCGATTTTGGGAAGAGGATTAAACGAATGAATTTGACTAAATCGAACGTCGTTCGCGATGATACACGACGATAGTATACAAGAAGTAAAATCAGATAAGAATGGATTCTTCGAAGAGGATAGAAAAACGCGATAACATGCTCGCCTACAGTGACGACAAATTCCAAAGGTGGAAATAAAACAGTTTGGTCCTAAAGGATCATCTAGATTCAACTATCAGGACACAAAGGACCGATCTAGATCTAATTTTTACGAGGGAGGAAAAACAAAAAGGAACACCGAGGCGGACGAGATTCTCTTTTCGTCATGCATCGGGAATTTAAGAGAAAGGGGAAAACGTAGAAAAACGCGGTTCACTCTGTCGGACACGTTGTACACGTATACGTAGACGCGTGTTCTCCGGCATCCTGGAGTTTGCGCAGGCAGCGGCTTCTTCCGAGTTGCTGGAGGCGCGACTGACCAAAAGAAGAATCATGCTGATGGACCACGGTCGTTCACGATGGTTGGTCAGTCGATTTTCAGTTTCGCGCACGTGAAGGATGTCTTTACGTGGAGAGGGTAGAACAACAGAGATGAGATCCCGACGTGAGACCACGTTGGTAGTACGCTACTTAGGAATAAGGGAAGAAAGAAGAATATCGGGGTCGAGGTGTGCGGTGGCAGGTGCACTCACTCGTTCTTCGCTTGAAGATGTTCGCCTTGGTCCATGGACAGGCAGCCAGCTCCACCACCAAAGCCGTAGCCTTTAGGGCCGAATTTGCGGCCGTGGCAGACTTTGCAATACAGCTCGCGCTCGTGCTCGGCACAATTTGTCGAGTCGAGAGCCTTGTTGCAAAGACCTGCAACACACGATCGTCCATCGTTGGACATTACGTTTCCTAGTGGACGTACTTAATTATCAAGATGCCAAAGTTATACTGATTATTATCAACTCCGTTGTGCTGTCTCAGGATATGTATATTAATATTTGACTTATTTTTATTCAGATCTTTTAGGTGGACATCTTAAGTAAGGACACTTTATAAAGTACAAAGATTGCTCTAAATATCTCTAACTATTAGACTCTGCCATTATTTTCCATAAACAAAAAAATTATATGTAATACATATTTTTTGTTTGCTGTTTATATTGTAACATCACCGCAAGAAACGTCAATTGACTTATATAATAGTTATAATTCATTTCTCAAATTTTAAGATCTTTCTACAGGAATAGTTACTCTGTACAATTCTAATATGTACGCATCTTTTTAAGATACGACAATGTTCAGTGAAATTATTGTGAATTATTCATATAGGTCATTGCTCTCGGAAGTATTACCAGATAGTCGACAATTGATTTTTGGCCAACCTGCAGGCTCGATTACAATCATGACGGACTATTCAAGTATAAAATTTATTTTAAACCAACCTAAAAATAGGAAACTCAATAATGTCTTTCGTAAAGGAATTATTCGACCATTTTTATAAAGCTTCTCACAGAAAAGCATAGCAGTAAATTCAGATAAAAATATAAGCATACTGAACAAATTTTTGGAAAGCACATAAAAAACTAAAGAATGGATCTTAGATTAATATATTTTTTGTATCACAAATAAAATTGGATATTTCAAAAAATTGCAGTTTCAATTATACATATATCTGAAACACACACACATACGCTTATTGAAGTATCTAACTATTCAAATTAATGGCGTGATAACATGATATTTCAAATTATACTATTTTTATCATAAAAAAGTATATAATTCAGAAATATTATTTTTATAAAAATAAAAGTACTCAACAAACAAAAGATTTACAAAAATGTAATTGTATTAAGTAAACTATTTGCGCGACACACACAAAGGTTAACTTCTATAGTACAATTAAATATATATATATCTATATTAAAATTTTATACAGCTGAATATTATACGTATAATATAATGTTTTCTTTCTATAATATATTCGAGTTACGAAATGATATTATCTGTACCAAGGTATCAAGGATTAGTTATATTTTCATATGTGAATAAGAGAGCACTTGTTTGTGCATTTTCTCTATTTTTATGTTACAAATTATATTTGTTTACTCACCGCACTTGAAGCACGTTTTGTGCCATTTTAGTCCACCGGCAACTCGCTCTTCTGCAGCATAAACAGATTTGCCACATTTAGGGCATTTTGGATGTTCCACGGGCTTGAAAGGCATTTTTACACTGAAAAAGAAAACTATGTTGACGTATCCTATTACAACTATAATACTTAACTATTGTCATGTCAAATTAAGAAATTATTGTAGTATCGAATATTTTTTACTATTTATACTATGTAAAACTAAAAAGATAATATAATCTTATGATAATTTGCCGAGTTGACAGAAAAGTGAAATACGAATAAAAAGATAACATTTTTGAGATAATAAAAGAAAATCGATCCTAAAGACTAATATATTATTTTTGAAAAATAATATACTTTTGTTAACATATTGTTGATATGGAAAAAGTCATACAAGTTTGGTGAGCGATTTACACAATCCTATACTAAGGTTGCAATGTACAAATTTTAAAAATTTATTGACATAGTTTAAAGAATACATTACGATTGAAATAACATGGAAAAAATTGAAACAAATACGAAAAAAAATGCATATTCATTATCTTAATTATAACGTTGTTTCAATTAAAATTTAGTAGAGCATTTTTTAAATTCTTTTTTAAAAAGTTGCTAATTCTGAGTAGTATCACTTTTCTCTATCAACGTAGGGAATTATTTCATAATGATAATACAGTTAAAAATATAATACTCTCATTATCTAAATATTAAAATTAACTTTAATTCTTCTTAAAAAAAATCTAAGTGAAAAATCAAAATAGAAGTAGCTTTATATGATCGTAAAAATATTTTTTTTTAAATTTGTAATTTTGAAATCCCAAATTCGTAATTAAATTTGACATTTTTATTAATATCAAGAGGAATCATCGCCGGTACGGTAACCCATTTCGGTTACCTAATCGGTCGCTGACGAGGACGTAAACAATCCGCGTTTCCGTCTGACTCGTCGGCAACCAGTTCTATTTTTGTGGCCAGCTTAAAACGTGCACACGGTTGAGCAAATGGAGGAACGAACGAGTAGAAAAGGGTATAAAAATATATCACACGCGATAGCATTGAACAAATCTACAAACATGCGTTTACGAACAGCTTGTCTCTTCACTTTATGTTTAATAGAAGAAATTTTAATAGCAACTCGATTTAGATGTTTATAAGAAATTGCAAATCATGTCTGAAGCACTAATAGAATGATATTAGAAATTAATGAAAAAAAATATTTGCACTTTTGTTTAAAAAAAGATATTAGTAATCCAACTAATAAGTAGAATAATAAAAGATTTTCGCAAATTAATAAGCTGCGACAAGTACATAAATAATGATACGTTAATTTTAGATTACACTGTATACGATTATTAAAAAATGATATTATATACGACCGTCATTACAAAGATTTATTTCTTAGATGTCAACATTTTTATGACATGTAACTATTATTACAGAAAACGTAAAAGTAAACAACAATTGATTGACACGCTTGTTGCAACGATATAGTAACGGTATCTGGCATGAACATTAATGGATGTGCGTAATAACGTTTGGCAATGCTAGTTAATCGTGTATCTATAGCAACGGTTTTACTTTGATAGTACACAAAGATAACAGTAAATATTAATGTAGTAATAATAAACAAAAATAAAATATATATAAAATGATAAAAATCTATAATAATATGTTTTATATATATATAAATGAAAATATTATAGTATAGACAATATTGTGTGTCGAATATATGTTTCATTATTATTATTAACAAATAATTTAAGATATGATTATAAATTTTTAGATGGTTAAAAAGTATTAAAAAGAAAATTTCATATTTATATCTCTCTAAAGAATAATAACATCTATTTATATTTAGAATACAGTTCTCCAAGAGACGTCCAAGGAAATCAATCTCTTATAAGACATAAAACGTCTTTAGAACATCCTCTCTGGACACTCTGGACTCCAAAAATTCGGAATGTCTTTCGGACATTTCTTGAAGAATTGTATTGTGTATTAATAGATGTTAAGGATGTAGCAAAAGAGCTATTTTATGTAAATATAAATGCATAAATACATATATACATATACATATATGCGTGTGAGAGAGAGTGTGAGTGTGTGCGTGTACGCGTGTAATACTTTAGGAAACGATTTGTCCAAATTTTATTTTAGTAAGTTAAAAATAATTAAACAGTACATAAGAAAATAAACCATTAGCAAAATACTCTACGTAGTAGTCGTATTATCATAAAAACAACACATTTGTTATTACTAATTTTAATTATTATTTTGAAGAATAATGTTCTATAAATATTTAAATAATCTTTTATTCCTCGCGTAAACAAACTAATTCTAATTCATATAAATTATGTCTCCGAATAGATATTCCGTAGCATTTAATGTGTTTCTGCTGCATAAATGAGTTCTGTTACTACTGACAGTAGTATCCGGTAATGATATGACACGCCATGCTAGTAGTAGCGGCCGTAATAGAGGCAGTTGTAACAGACGGCATCGCACGGCATGCTAAGGAGAAAGAGAGCGAACGAGAGAGAGAGAGAGAGAGAGAGAAAACGCGGGCGATTCTATATCCGTGCAGACGCGTGCAAGCGAGTTCGCGAAGCCGTATTAGGGAAGGCGCTAGGTTCTCCACGATAGCAGTCTCCTCGTTTTACCCCTACCGTTCAATCACACACATATTCGTGGATGGAATGCGCAGTAACCTAACACGTATCCTGTCACGCTGATAAGGCTACAAAATGTCCCTATCATCAAAGTGTTACATTGCACTCAAGAATAAAAAATCAAGACAAAAAGAACAGAAAACTCTTCGAAATTTATAAAAGACAGAATTTATCTATTATTTGTATTAAATATCTGCATATAATTTATACATTATATGTAGAATTTATTACTGTACAATATATGCCTCCTTAATAGTATTTATGTAGCTTGGTATTGTATTGATATGTATAAATAACTTAAAATTAAAACGTAAAAATTTTTTTAATTTATGTTATTTATATACAGTATGACGTATTACTATCATCGAAATTTTCAAATTATTCTTTGATAATTAAAAAATTTACTTTTTATTTATAGCATATATTATTAATGTTATAAAAATATATGAGAGGTATACATCGAACCATGATCTGCACAATTTTTATTTTTAGAAAATTTAAATACCAATGTTAAATTGTTGAAATGAGTCATGATTGTGAAAAATATACGCAATATGCCGATGAGTGCTATAATTAAAATGGAAATATGTATAATAATGATACGATACGGCCAAGAATGAGCATTTATAACGATGTGGTAAGTGCTGGCACTAAACGCGTGTGAATCATCGATTTGATAATCAGCATAAATTCTTATTTTACAAAATATTTAAAGATTGTAAACTTTTATATTTATAGTAAAGATGATAATTTACTAAATGAGAAAATAACTATTGGACAAAATAAAAGTTTTTCTTGTGTTTGTATAATGCATAAAACGTAATTTAAATTTCCTAGTTGCGTACTTTGGCTTTGTTCTTGAAGTTTCGTTCAATCAATTATTTCAATAACTTTTAAAAATATACGATATACACATAAAATTATAAACCGCACAATTTTTATTTTTAGGAATTTTAGACATCGGTGTTCAGTATATCTAATGTAATCTTAAACGTAAACTTAATTTTATCGCGTTAAACATTTAAATGTTTAACAATTTTTTAATATATTCGTTAGAAAAAAGCCATCTTCTTTCTTGTCCTCGCATTTTGCAATTAACTATCTGTTTACAAATAAAATTATAATAATTTTATAAAATAAGCATTGGAACTATTTGATTAATTTACTCAACAAAGTAATATCCTGTTTGTTGAATTTATTTGATTATTTGATAACATAATTTAATTAGCATTGCTAACCGATTGTTTCAGCAACTAGAAATACGAGGGAAAATATGTAGATATTATTATTATTAAAATTAACAAAATTGATAACACGAATACATGTGATAATCATACCTTTTATGATTATAATATACAACTCTATTTTATGTAAAATTTATTTAAATATTATTAGATCATAAATACTACTTATAATTTATTTTAAAGTTTTAATATAAATAGATGATATGTATGTTATTTATGTTTTAAGATTCTATGTTTTTTCACAGAAAGTGTCATCAGTGTTAATTTAATCCACTAAAATTGTTAAATTTAATTAATTAGAATTCATTTATTATGTATTTACTATAAAAGTACATGCTTTAATTTTTGCACATGAAATTTGATATTTCCACTATTTTTATTCCTTCATCTTCTCTAACGTCTTAAGATCGGCGAGTAAATCGGCGGGTATAGCATAATTTGTCAATTTTATTAATATCTTGTATGTTTAATTATAACGTAATATGGAATCTATGTTCAGTGATCATGACTCTATTTTAATCTCTGCACGAGATTAGATATTAAACATATTAAATTTTCCAGCATGCCATATTCATCTTAGACAGCACAGACATCCCTTGCCCTGTCCATCTATGCGGTGTTCGCTACACTAATTATCGTTAAATCTTATTAACTTTGTCTATATTTTTAAATAAGGCCATAAGATGGCCTTTTAAATTAGAATCGGCTTTTAGCGGAATCCTTCAACATGTAAAAATATATCCTAGCTAAACTTTTGACTTGCAAGGATTGATTTAATTATATCTCTATAATTGAAAATTAATAATTTTATATACGCAAATTAATAATTTATAATAAAGTATAATGCGTAAGTTAAGAATAATAGTAGTTCTCTCTCTCTTTCTCTCTAAAATTAAAAATTGGTTACGGCTGTTTGATAATTTATTAATGTTATCCAAAAGGAATTAGAAGTTAGCTGTATGGGTAAATTGGCAAATTTATTGCATTTTATTAATAATTTTATGTAAGAATGTAAATTATTAAATATTTTTATGAATAGAAATAGATCAAAATTTTACAAATTTAACGTTTGTAATAATTAGTATTATTTAAGAAAAGTCTTCACTTAATTAAACCAATCTTTATAAAAAATTTTGAAAATTCTCCATGATATGACAATTGACCCAAGTAGCTGACCTGGTGTGTGCGTTCAAAGCCGTTGATGAATATCTTTCATGGCACTATATGAATCTCAGTACTTCAGAAGGAGACACACGAGGAAAACAGATAATCACGAGGCTGAGGTAAATCACGCTTGCAATGATTCTACGTGCACTTTTTTGAGCGATACATATGTTTGTGTATTATCGTTGGTATCATCAGTATTTGCAGCATCGATCGATATGACTAAGAAGAGTATCGTCATCGATAGTAGTACAGAAGTGTCTGATAGTAGTAGCAGTAGTAGAGTAGTATATATATCCGCCACACTGTTGGTACTCACCACTAATCGATCGTAGTCACGCGAGAAAAAGAAAAGAACAGATAGAGAGACGAAGAAAAAGAGAGGGAGAGAGAGAGAGAGAGAGAGAGAGAAAAATTCGAGTAAGTGGATTACAAAACACCGAACACTCTACACCGCACTAATACTGGATTCGAATGACTGTGCTCGCGTCGGGAGCGTCCTAGTCATAGCCCCTCAGGCTTTGCACACGGCACGTGTGCAGTGGGAACGTCAATGCTGTTGATGATGCTGTGCCGCCGGTGGCGGTGACGGCGAACATCAAAGAGCAGCGGAGATTTTTAAAGTAAGATTCAGGTCTTTAGGTCGAAATATGTCTACCAATAATCTTCACGAACTTGACATACACTTCAAAGTCTAACAATGATTTTTAAAAAGGAAATGCTTTAAAATTTAATTTAATTTTCGACTATATAATTTAATAAGGTTAAAATCGATAATTTTTCGTCTGCACATTCAGCGAGGGCTATTGTACCTATAAATGCTATATGCTATATTGTTTAATTAGCTTCGCATAACTTGAAATATATAATAAAATAACGTACAACATACTTCAGTGTATATAGGTATATAATTATAATATAATAATATATGTATATACTTTTTTCAAGTTTAAGAAAAATAAGGAAATATATATTTAATTAAATGCTAAAATGTACCTTTAAAACATTTCGAAATGCTTGAAAGTAAAAATGCGTTGTAATTATAACATAATTATAAATATGTAATATATTATAATAAACGTTGATTGTGTAATGATACATTATTAGCGCCATAGTTTAACGACGGATTTCTAAAAACAAATGGTTTCATAAATAATCTTTAGAATTCTCTGTCTAATAGAAGAAATATTAAGAGAGACCATTAACCTATAGAAGCTATATGTAATACTGTCTCCTCCATCAACAATAATTGAAATCATTATTACTTATTTTGAGGTAAGAAATTAGCACTTTCCATGCTCTCTTGATAAAATTCATTATTTTTAAAGATAATAAAAGATTAATGAAATACAAGAAAAAAAACATATGTATATATTTTTAAAAATAAATTTATTATTCTCTTTCCCAATATATTGAAAAGTTTAAGTAGTATATTTTTATTTTGTGTGTGAAACAAAAATATTATTTCAGATATCAAATATTTATTCGTGTATATATCTTTAAGTCCCAGAATGACATTAATTACTTCAAAATATTACATAATTGATAAAAATCATAATATATAAATAGCGTTATGACAAATTATAATACATATTCTAGTAGCTGGCATACTACAGAACTCTCAACATACTGAACATGACCTGTCTGCAAAAAGAAGCAACAGAAATGCCTCGCAGTCTAGTAGGTGACACTTACATATATCATAGATTAATAGTACGTTATATTTATCCACGATAAAAATAAAAGTGAATCATTATTGCGATATTAATATCTTTATTTGGATAAAATAGTTTCGATAAGTTTGTTTTAATTAATCAAATTTTTATTATAATTAAATCAAATATAAGTAAATTAGAAAATTTGTGTTCTAATAAAATCTAAGAATAATCCTGAATTATGGATTAATTCTAAAATATACAACAAAAATAACACACTTAGGTATACAATATGTAATAGATATAACTTGCTTATGAGAGAGAGAAACAGACTTTTATAAAAATGAACATATATATATATATATATATATATATATATATATATATTAAAAAAT